AGAAACTCAAATCATTCATGTAAAAAGGGCCTTGATTTTGGCTGTGCCTGAGATGGAAGTGAGGAAGGATTCTAATGTTTGTTTTTTATTTAACGGTTCTAGCGGAGATGATTTGGCAAGTCGGGGGAAAATGAGGCTGTTCTTGGTTTTGGATGAGAGGCAGAGGGTAGGGTGGAGGAGGTCGGTTTTGAGGTATGTAACTTGAGAGGTTTTAGGGGAGATGGGTTGGGTGCGGTTGAGACAGTATATGTGGGTTAAGGTTGGGTTGGCCAGGAGTGATGAGTGGGGGGGGGGGGGAGTAATAGCTAGGATGTTGAGATGGGGGAGAGAGGTGACGAGACGGGTGACGAGACAGATGGAGAGGATAGTCAGGATGAGGGCGGTAGCCCAGAGACCGGCACAGGGGGTAACAAGGACGATAAGCCGGAGCCAACGCCGGTGCTGGATGCATTCGGGGTTCTAAGGCGTAAGGACAGCAGTGACTCTGATGTTTCTATGAGCGATTTGCCGTCTCCCCGACGAATTACAGTGTCGACTTTTCGGTCGACGGCGAGGTTACCATTTCGGACGCCTCGTACGAGGACCCGAACGAGACTGGTGTTGCACAGCAGTCCGAACATCTCAGCAATCCTGAGACCCCGAAGCGTCCTGAGACCCCTGAGCTGCCCGAGAAATCGAGCGATACCCGGAACCCCAAGCACCCTGAGGCCTCTACACCTACTACTATTCCCAGCCGCCTTGAGAAACCCGTCGACCTTGAAAACTCGAAGCCCCCAGAGCCCACTGCGCTCCCTGACACTCATCCGCCCCCCGAGCCTACTACAACCCCCAAGCCTACCACACCCCCTCAGGGTTCCGGACTTCAACTTACCAGATGAGTTGGCAAATAACCCCGACTTCGACGAACGGCTATCTCTTATTGGTTTCGACATCATTTACGACTAGGTTGAACCAGGCAAAGACACCAGGTACGCCACTGTAGCTTTGGCGAATCTTTGCTTACCTAAAGGATGGGGCATGAGGATAGTGTACTAGGATGACGTGTTTTAGACAGGGCAAGGTAGCTACCATTTGATCAAAGAACACACATTGTCCCGAGAGGCCGTTCAACTTGCTGTGACAGCAAATAGGCCGAAGCCTGGCCCACTGCTTATTACACCATACTCTGACATGTATACCACACAAATAAACCAACAATGAACCACCAATATACTTTAACCCAAACACCATGCCCGCCTGCCATGTTTCATGAAACAAAAAAGAGAGAAAAGCGGAGGGTATATCACAACACCAAAATACCACCGCAATCACTGCTTCCCCGTCTCCGTAATCCCATCAGCCTTTGTCTCAACAACCTTGTACACACCCGCATTACCCTCACCCGCCGCAGCCCGCTCATAAGCCTCATCACTCCTATCACACAACACCTCAATATCAGCATCACTGAGCACCTCCTTGTCCCCACTAAACTTGTACACCTGCCCATCCTTCAGCAGCAGCGCCTTGAGTGTTTCCTTGTCCAAATCCTCTCTCATGTCAATCTTTTGCCCCATCGTCCTGAACCCACCCTTTTTGATCACCAGCTTCTCCAACCGTCTCTTTGCGTCTGCACTCCCCAATAGCTCGTCCTCTACCGTGTCCTTGGTAGCCAACCGGTACACAACCACCGGTCTTGTCTGACCAATCCTGTGAGCGCGATCTTGCGCTTGTAAATCCTGCTGCGGGTTCCAGTCACTATCAAACAAGATGACGGTGTCAGCCGAAGCAAGGTTGATACCCTGCCCCCCTGCCCTCGTGGTCAACAAGAAGATCTTGAGCTCAGGGTCCTTGTTGAAATCCTCAATCTGCGCCTGGCGGTCCTCCTGCGCTACTGACCCATCGATGCGACATACCGGCCACCCGCGCAGGTCGGCGCAGTACGACTCGAGCAGATCAAGCTGCTTGTTGAACTGGCTGAAGATGAGCACCTTGTGGCCGCGTTCAAACAAGGCGGGGAGTAACCTGTCAAGAAGCAGCATCTTCCCTGAAGCAGTGACGATGGACTCGTCCGCTTCGCAGTCGTAAAAGTGATGGGGGGAGTTGCACACCAGACGGAGCTGCATGACGGGGTTGCCGAGTTTCTTGAGGGAGATCTCGCGTTTGGCAAGCTCGAGGGTTCTGGCTCGTTCGAATTCATCGGTGTTTTCGTCGAGGCCATTTTGTGCCTGCAGTTCGGTTTCCTCCTCGAGTTGTTTGGCCAACTTGGCCTCAAAGGCGTCGTCGTCGAGCATGTCGTCGTCTGAATCGGCGTCTTTGTAGGATTTGCGGCCTCGTCGTGGTCGGCCGCGGACACTACTAGGGGTGGACTGACGACTTGACTTGACGCTCTTGGGGGCGGGAGACTGCGGTGCTGGTGAGGCCTTGCGCTTGGTGCTGCCCTTCCGTGGTGATTCGCGAATCGGAAGGGCAGCTTCTGCCGCAGCACCTTGTTTCTTAGCCAGGGTTGCTGCTTTGGGAGGACGCCCACTAGGTCGCTTTCCCATCATGAGGGCAAAGGCATTCTTCTTCGCTGGAAGAGCTGGTGGCTCTTCCATCTTGACTGACATCGGGCTGGTCCTTGCGGTCGATGATGTGACCTCACTCTCCGTGTCTGGCTTCACGCTGCTTGACCTAGAGGAGCGTGTGCTGCGACTGGGCGATGATGCTGAGCTGTTGGCAGCTGTGAGCCTCTCCACGACCTTGTTTTCCAAGTAGGCCCGAGTGTCGATATTCTTATCGCTGATAGCGTTGTACAAGTCTGTCTGCTCCCTGGTCATCGGCGCATACAAAACATACTCTCTCTTTTTGGGCAGGTACTTGGCGACATCAGCCTTGACTCTGCGCAGAAGCAAAGGCTGCAACACCACGTGCATCTTCTTGACGAGTTCTTGCTTGGCCTTATCAGCAATGAACTCTTCGGTTCCTTCTTCATCCTCGAGGTCACTAAAGTCGAACCAGCTCTCGAAGGACTCCCAGTCACTGAAGATCTTGGGCAACAAAAAGTTCAGCAGTGACCACAGCTCCTTGAGGTTGTTCTGAAGAGGGGTGCCGGTAATCAGGAGACGGGTGGCAGAGGTGAATGTCTTGAGTTCCCGGAACAGCTTGGAGTCAAAGTTCTTCATCCGGTGACCCTCGTCGATGATGATAAACTCCCAGTTTATCTTGGAAAGGTTGGCACGGTCACGGATGACCATCTCATAGGTCGTGCAGACGACGGGAAACTTATTCGTAGGTCTGCCTCCCACGAGATGTTTGTTGATCTGGTTCTTGAAAATGCCGATACGCTGCTCGGGGGTGCCGTGGTACATGCAAACAGGGATTGAGGGGACCCATTTGTGAAACTCATTCATCCAGTTCGATAGTGTACTCAACGGAGCAACAATCAGATGTGGACCGAGGTAATTTTCTTGCTCGCGGAGGAGAGCTATCAGAGAGATGGTTTGAATGGTTTTGCCTGGAGGTTATTAGCATGTCAGTGTTAACGAAGCCGTGTAAGTGCTTGCATACCGAGACCCATCTCGTCAGCCAAAATGCCACTCATTCCCTGTACGCAAATCTCGTACATCCAAGTAAGACCCTCCAACTGGTAGTCTCGCATGGTGCCGCCAACCAAGCACTTGGGCTGCTTGGCCATGGTCAAGTCATGTTCTCCCAGTGTCTTGCCATCCAAGCCTGTTCCAACTCGGCCGAGGACTTTGGTCTTGTCTGTCAGAATGCTGCTAAACGCTGCACTCTGGGCGAGAAGAGCATCCAGGTCCTTTCCCTTAGCCTCACGCTCCTCCTTTGTCAAGGGTCTTCGCTTCCATTTCTTCTTACGCTTCTCCTCAGCCTTGAGATTCGCGAGGTGGGCCTTTTCCTCCTCGGCGGCGAGTATTTGCTCCTCTCTCAGCTTGGTGTAGCTCATTTTGGGCTTCTCGGCTTCCATCGTATCGGCGGACGCCATCGGGGCGGAAGCGAGCGATGGTGCGCAAGGGCTGATATGGTGTCGCAATGGAGAGCTACTAGGGAAGTCCTGATCGGATGAAAAACGCTGCTATCGCACGTCCGGATGAAAGAGTGCGGTCGCAAGTCGCAATTGGGAGCGAGAGGTGGGAGGGATATCCCGGTCGTCAAAGCACGGCGGAATGCAACTCGCCACCACGCAGAAATCGTCGAGCAGTCGAACAATGAAGGCCAATCGAGTCGCCCAAATATTAAGCAGACAGTAGACTGTAGTAAAAAAGGACTTGACCGTCCAGAAAATACAAGGGATCCTCCAAGAAGAGACAAGAGTGGCACTTCCCCCAAAAATGGTGAGAAAACACCGAAGGCAAAACAGTTTTGACAAAATCAATTAACAGAGGCGCGTCGATGCACGCGACGGGCGATGGCGATTTTAATCGATTTCTGCACGCGTCAAAGAAGCAACGACGCGCAGTCACGCGCTTTTCCCAAAGCGACGAAGGTGCCAAGACAATTGTTCTGCCCCCCCGCATTCCTGCCTGAAAGCCAAGGTCAGAAAATGCTAGAGCTCAAGCTGCCCCTCCTTTTGACTCAGAAAAAAGTGCCCCGCATTGAACATTGAACAGCTTCAATCAAGTCTATCATATTCCCGACCAACGGGATACACCAACCACGCTGTCCTTCCTCCGCCCCTCCTTTGCTGCTCTCCGAAGCGCAAACCCTCTTTCCACCAGTCGACCATTCCACTCACGACGACTTTCCCCCCTGTTTTTCCTGTCGAACCCGCGCATCATGGCCTACCTCGACTCCCAGAAATACACCCCCGCCGAGGAAACTGAGATCCAATCCTGGCTTTCCAAGGCCTCCTCCGTGTCTCCCGATAACTCCTCCCTCCTCGACGAGATTAACAATACCCTCGCCACCCGCACCACCGCCCTCGGCACCAAGCCCTCCAAAGCCGATATTGCTCTGTATGAGTCCCTCGCGCCCCTCGTCAAGTCCTGGGGCCCCGAGCAGCGCACCGGCGAGCACGGCCACCCCAACATTGTTCGCCTCGTCGACTTTGTGCAAAACTCACCCTTTTTCGGGCTCGACGTCAAGCACAAGGTCGAGGTCGATGTTGAGGATATTCGCTATGTCAAGCCCGTCGTTGACGCCAAGGCCGAGAAGGAGAGGTTGAAGAAGGAGAAGGCTGCTGCTGCTGCTGCTGCCGCCGCCGCTGGTGGTAACGCTGAGCAAAAGACCCTCGTCGACCGCACAAAGGAGGCTGCCCAAACAGTCGTTGAAAAGGCCGTCGAAGCCAAGAACACCGTTGTCGAGGCTGTCACTGGCGACGCTGCCGCCGCCGCTGGTGCCAAGCCCCAAAAGCAAAAGAAGGAAAAGAAGGAGAAGAAGGGCCGCGAGCCCGCCCCTCCCCCACCTCCCCAGGTCCTCTCGCCGTGCCTGATCGACCTCCGTGTTGGCCACATCCTCAAGGCGATCAAGCACCCCGAAGCTGACTCCCTTTATGTCTCCACCATCGCCATGGGCGACAAGCCCGGTACCGACGACACCACCGAAGTCGACGGTCAAATCTGCCGCACTGTCTGCTCGGGTTTGAACGGGTTGGTTCCTCTTGAGGAGATGCAAGGCCGCAAGGTGGTGGTGGTGTGCAACCTTAAGCCGGTCAAGATGAGGGGCATCAAGAGCAGCGCCATGGTGCTGGCTGCCTCGCCCAAGATCAAGGAGGGAGAGGTGGACGATCACAAGGGCCCCGTCGAGCTGGTCAACCCACCTGCCGATGCCAAGGCTGGCGAGAGGGTCTACTTTGAGGGGTGGGCCGGCGAGCCGGAGAAGGTGCTGAACCCAAAGAAGAAGATTTGGGAGACGTTCCAGCCTGGGTTTACGACTACGGACGACTTGGAGGTTGCGTTTGATGCGGGGGTTGTGGAGGCGCTGGAGGGGAAGACGGGGTTGGGCAAGTTGGTGACGGAGAGCGGAGGGGTTTGCAAGGTGAAGAGCTTGACGGGTGCGCAGGTTAGGTAATTTCTTCTTTTGAGTGTTTGGTTGTTTCACTGTGTGCAGGAACGATGGAGGAAAATAGAATAAAAAGGCTGTTTCCCTGTAATTTGCCTATGGAAGAAGGAAAGAAAGAAAGAAAGAAAGAGAGAAAATAAAAGCAACTAAAAATGTCATGAAACCTCCCCTTCTTCTTTTCCTCCGTCCCTCCGTCTCCTCCCCCCCCCCACCCCCCCTTTTTTTTTTATAAAAAAAATGATCAACTTAGTTTGGCTTGGTCAAAATCGCCGTGGGGAACGCTCCGGTGTGAGTCGGCGCGCAGCCGGTAGTGATGTACTCGGTGATGGTGGGGATCACGCATCCGGTTACGCACTTGGGGCAGCGGGCGGTGACGGTTTGGGTGGACGTCTTGGGGCAGCAGTCGTCGTGGCAGGGGACCTCCTTTTGCTCGATCTTGATGTAGGCCGGGCACATGATGGGGTCTTTGGGCTCGGGGCAGGCGGTGGCGCAGGCCTTTGGGGTGGTGGTGGTTGTGTGGGTGTAGCAGGAGGGCTTTGCGGAGCAGGCGGTTGGTTTTGCTGGGGGGGGTGATTACGGGGAGGGAGGCTGTGATGGCTGGGCCGCCGCCGGGGACGGTGAGGACTGGGAGGGAGGTGCCGGCTGGGATGGCGGAGCTGAACGGGGAAAGGGGGGGGGAAGTTAGTCAGTGGGGATGGGTGGAGGGAAGGGGGGAAGGGGGACGTACACTGCTCCGGCGAGGAGGAGGAGGAGGGGTGGGAGTTGCATTTTGGTTGGAGAGGTGTGTGTGGGTAGAAGGCTAATAATACCTTTGCTTGATGAGCTGGTGGGTGCTGGTGGTGAAGAGGATGAGAAAGGACGAGGGGCAAGGTCAGAGTCTGGGAGCTTTATACTCTCACGCCGGCCATACTTTGGTTTCTCCTGTCGTTTTCTGTTCCTGAATCAGACCCTCAGTTGACATGTGCGATCGACGGTGTCACTCCCAGAGAGGTAGAAACAACGAAACGGTAACAGCGCACAATGCTACGGCAGCGACAAGTTGATGGGGTTAGACCTGACTTGGCATCACGTTCAATCTGGTGATTTCTGCAGAGAGATCGGGGGTAGAGATGCAGAGATGGGCATGGATACAACGCAGAAAGGGGTCTACACTTTGAGGTGGTTGTGGCTGCCTCCGATGGGATGCATGTGCTTCGATGAGTGGCAGATGTGTTGAAGATACCCGACGGGTCTCTGCTTTCCGAGCCGGACATATGCTCTGCCTGTGCTCATACACAACCCAACCTACTGTGTGTGTCGTCTTGACCCGATGACATTTTATGCTGTCCTTCTCATAGGCATAATTGAAGCTCCAGCATAAAATCATATCACGGTCCAAAACCCTCCCTGCACTCAACCATACCCAGCTGCGACTTTCTCTCTCGTTCCGGCTGCGTTAATTTACACCTATATTAACTGATTGCTACCGTAACAAACATTAGGCGAGCGAGCAAAACCCATAAACCGGGGGTGTACATAACTCGCGGATGTTGTTTCCAGGTTCAGGTCCCAAAGCCAAGACCACGATGCCCGTTCAGGTAGACGCGGCAGATATAAAGCCGTTATTTTCTTGGAAGCCTCTGGCGTCCAACCTCTCAATATCTGTCAACTTTCCGAGGGTTTCGTAAGATTCCCGAGGTCTTTTAGAAACCACCGAGGTTTGTCCATAAAAACATGGGGGATAACAGAACGGATACGAACCGGAAACAAACAACTCTGCTTTCTGGTAGATACCATCCCGGGAAGTGGGAGAAAGTTTCTATTTATGTTTCCTTGGGTTCCTGGAATTGTGGATTTGAGCCAGACCAGAAAACTAAAACACAGAATCACAACCGTGGTACTGTTATAAGGTATCCAGGGGGCAAGGCAAAACTCGACGTTGCTTTTGGGAAAGCTGGGGAAAGAGCCGATCAATTGGTCTCGGCATTGAGAGTCAGGAACGGCATGGTGACAGCGTCTGGCCTTGGCCCTTCAACCTCCTCCGCAACGGAAGCATTCCAGTTACTAATTGTGATCCCTCCGTCTCTCAAAACTGGGGTTTCTGTTGTTGACTTTATCTCTCTTCTGCAAGCAGGACGTCCTATCACACCGACAAACACGCTCCCGTGGGTGCTGAATCGCCGGTTCGGAGTCGAAGGCAATGGAACCGGCCCATCCATCATCTCATTCTTACTTTGCTGTTTTCCCGCCCATCTCTTGATGCCCAGCCATACGAGTTTCAGTAGACAGGTGTCTTATGAGAGTTGAGGGTGTATCAATTACATCTTTCAAGGCCTTTCTCGCACGTTGATACCACGACAAAACATCAGATTTGAGCAAGTGATGCACCTCACCTCTTATACTTTTCATATCACACAAACATGCTACCCAACCATATCTGTACTCTACTTTACATTTTCTCAAACCATCACGCCTCCTCTCGCCAAAGTTTTTTTATCCGCATTCTCCCAAAACCCAGTTCATCTACAACGCCACGCAGTATTCATGAATCCAAAAACAACAAAAAAAGAATGATCCTTGCCAAAAAAAAAAAAAAAAAAAAAAAACGCCGCCCGATGCGCATGACCCCAGTGTTGTAAATACTTGTGTAGAACATCATGAGAAAAAGTACTTGCTCTGCCTCAGCATTTGAATGTCAAAGTCGCCCTTGGCCGGGATGTCGGGGAAGGTCAGTGGAAGCCAGACAGTGACTTTTTGTTGCTGTGTTGTATTATTAGGAAAACTTTTGTCCTTTCTTGCCGAGAAAAGGTTCTTCTCCCACTTCTTCCCAGACACTTGGGCGGACTCGTCGGCTTGTTCTCCCTCTCCCAAGAGCTCTGTTGCGTCAGCCTCGCCCTCCATGCCGTGCTCCATGCCGTCCTCCATGCCATCCTCCGGTGTCGCCGTTGTGTCCGCCTCCGCTTCCACCGCCTCGGCGGCGCCGACCATCGAGTCAGGTGAACCCAACTTCTCAAGGATGCTAGCAGGCGTAACCATTTCCTCGCCTTCGAGTCTCTCCGAGGGAACCTCCGACTTGAGAAGCTTGAGCCGCTTCACTTCGAGCAACAACTCTTGACGGGCTGTCATGCGAAAGACCTTCCGCCAATCTTCGATCGCTTTCCCGGCCGGTGTGTTCTTGACGACGGTGGCGAGGTATACGGAATCACCAAAGCGGGCTTCAAACTCGCGCTTCAGGCGGCCAATGACATCCTCTTCGTGGATTCTAATGAACGAGTCCCTGATGATGTCACTCATGATGTCTACATCAGACGCGTGTGTCCAAAACGAATCGTGGACGGCCGCAAACGTCAGGCCACGCTCATCAGACTCCAACGCCGACAGCATCATGTGGCTGGCGTCGAGAGAGTGAATGAAGTTGGGCGGGAAAGCCTGCAGCTGCTTACGTCGGTTCACAGGGTCGGATCGATTCGTGTCCATGAGGCTGAGATTTTGAAGACAGGTCGCGATCACACGATTGGCCGTGTTACGGTATGGCTGCACCACAGGCATCCGCAGGGGCGTTGTCCATACGATGGTGGAGAGAAACTTTTCCTTGAGAGCTTCAAGCGTGGATTCGTTCTTGACCGCTCTGAGCGACTTCGACTTCCGCTTGGGTGCCATGATAGCAACCTCGTCAGATGCTGCTTTTTTGGGCCGCGGTCTGTGCGAATCGGCTTCATACAAGGCCTGCTGGGCCTGCTGGTGCTCGACCTCATCCTGCTCCTCCATGGCAATCCTTCTCAGCTGCTCGGCGTTCAGTGACTGGCATACACGGCCGCCTATTTCACCTAGCCACTTCTGGATGTCGTGGGCGCCCTTGAACATGCTAGACAGTGCGTCAAACACCTTGCTAGTGCAGTAGGAGGCGAGCACGTTGGGATTGATACCGGTGTCAGCCTCAATGGTGGGATAGAGGGCATCCAGCTGTTTCAGGATCTGCTTTCTGGCACCTGTTCGAGTGACGCCGTAGACGTTCGTCATGACGGTCTGCTTAACCACCTTTCTGACGATCTTGCCTTTGAGGGCTACCGCGAGGTCAAGCTTGAGCTCGTCGGCGTCATGGTCTATGCGTTTTGCCACGATATCAGCGACGGCCGAGTAGACATCGGCCGGCCGCTCGCCGGGAATGAGATTGACTTGCTCGGCACCCCACGCGTCACCACCGAGAGCGGCATAATGCTGAAGACCATTGCAGGTGCCGTCTTGGTGAATTGGGAGGTGGGACACGAACTTAGTAGGGTCCGGGTGCTCCAGGGCGTCTGTCAGCTCAAAGCAGGTCGCAAGGCATTGCCATGGGTCCTCGGCCTTGAGCCACCAGCCGTTGCCATTCAGCGGGTTCCGAACCGAGTCGAGCGCGTTCTGAAGGTTTTCATTGGCAAACTCCTCACGCTCGGCCAAACTCGCCTTGTCGAAACCGTAGACGTTGGCGAGATGGATCTTGAGCCACCGCAGCCCGTTGGTGCCCAGCGGCTTTCCCTTGGCAAACTTGAGCAGGCCGCGCATGTGGTCAGCACCCATATGGTTAAGGTAGGTCGGAACCGGGTACGCTCGCCCACGGAAATCCAGATTGTGAGGGAAGAAGAAAGTCTGGTCACGGAAGGCTCGTGCGATCTCCAACTGGAAATTCATAAAGCATCGCTGCGAGTGCAGACCGCCCTTTTCGTTCTCGACGGCCTTGACAGCCTTGAGCCAAACACGTCGGGCCAAGGGGTCGTCCAGGTTTTCAGGCTCGGGCGGCATCGGCAGGTTGGGGTTCACGGCTGGAATGTTGGCGACTTCTGCTCCGTTGTTCCAGGCTTCAAGCATGACATCGAACACCTTGCGGTTGATTCTCCAAGCTGTTTGCCCCAACACATCGAGCCCCTTCATCATCTGCTCCATGTCGCCTCTCTCGATGGCGGCCTCGGTGTAGATCTGCTGATCCTTCTCCTGTGCCTTGGCTCGAACCACGGATGTCGGATATTCGATGAACCCGCCCTTCTCCCACTTGGTCCATGGCTCTGGCTCGACCACCATGGGCAGATGCCGGGCAAGCACCTCAACTCGAGGTTCCGTCTTCAGGATATCGACCAGGGCGCGATTGGGCACAATGACGCCAACCTTCTTTCCCCTCCTCAGCTGGGTTGAATGGGAGAAGGCGGGCTGCATCTGCGAGACGAGCTCCTTGGTCTCCGGGTGCTCCCTGACGACGGTCACCTTTGCCGTGTCCAGAAAAGCGCCCAGCAGCAGAGCGCCGAATTTGGTTTTGGTGGTCGCAGGCCACCTTGGCTCCAAAATCGGCAATGGCAAGTCAGAGGAAAAGACCTTGCCATCATTGGCCGCTTGCGCTGGCTCTTCCTGGCCTCCTCTCTTGGCCGCATAGTAGTCGCGCGCCTTGGCCACCTTCAAGAGCGTCTTCGCCTTTTGCTCACGAGCCTTTTGCGTCCTGGCCATCTCTTTTGGGATGCTCTGCGTTGCCTTGTAGACTCGAATGTCTTCTTCGACGCTGCTCGCGAGGTGATGCACGACCCTGGTGAGAGGAACGCCCTTATCGACACCATATGTGGAAACCAGACTGAGCAAGGAGAGGATGACTACGGCCGCAAGACGATCAGGAGTTGATTGGAGGAGGTACGGCGTCAATTGGCTCCGAACAAGGTCATCACTCGTCTTTTTCTGTCTCTTTTCGGACTCGACCGCCAGTTTTATCTCTTGGGAAATCCTACGCTGCAGGTCGGTATGCCACTCGAAAAGCCTGGCGTTAAGACCAGGACTCGACAAGCCAAGTCCCATCTCGGACATTGCCTGACTTTCCTTGCGCCAACGGTCGACGGCGGCATCGATTGTATCCTTCTCCAAGCGAGACTGGATCTCCCTCCGCTCCGCTGGAGAAAGAGAGCTGATGTCTCGGCCATCTGGGACCTCAGTGAAGAGTGAAATGGTCTTCTTTAGTGATGTGAGGCCAAGACCTTTTTGTGTTGTGGCAAGGACCTCGGGAGGAACGGTCGACTTGGAGTCGATGGAAGACTTGGTCTGGTTGAAGAATTGGGCTGTTTCATCGTTGATCTTGGGTGCCGGCTCGGGTTCGATGGGGGAAGGCTCGGCCACAGTGTAGGTGAGGGAAGGACTGATTTTTGCTATCCTGGCCAGGTCCTCAGAGGACAAGATGTCGCCTAGATCCATCGTGGTGTTCTCGGGTAGCAGGCTCATAAACCTATTCACCCGGGTCCGCAATTTGGAGCCGGTACAGCAAAGCAGTGACAGCTTCAGCATGTACCCGATGGTCTCGCTCCTGGCCGGCAGCACTCCATGAATCCGGGTTTCGTAGAGAGAGAAAACGTCTTCGCCTGCCGACTTGCCAGACGTTTCCACATCTTCCCCGCCCATCTCTATCCTCGCAATTCGGGCCCTCAGATAGGCGTGGTGGATCTGAAGCATTTCGAGCACCGAGAGACCGCCCAGTTCCTCGAGACGTCTGGCGACCATGGCGGCCCGCTCCAGTCTCCCGACCTTGATGCAGGCATCAAACATGGACAGGAGCTCGGCATGATCACCAGGAATGCCGGACTGGTTCATTCGACCTCGGGGGGGGCGCGGCAAATCGTCCGGGTACTTGGACTGTGTTGGTGACATCAATGGGCCGCAGCTGATAGAGCGGGATTGCGTCGAGGGGGGCATTTTCGATATGTTGTTCGGTGACTGTTGTGGCGAGCTTTCTTTCGAAGCCAACAAGAGCACGGTATGTTTTCTTGGTTGACGGTCTTAACACGGGGCCTGTATTAAGGAAGCGTTGCGTCTCGGCGGGGACACGGCTTGAGCTGGAGGGGAGTAGGCATCTCGAGGGGTGTCGTGACGAGCTGGACGTCAGCAGGGTCCGGACTGGGAGTGTATGCCGGGTGGCTACTCGCGACCGAACGAGCATTGTTATGTGTGCGAGCTGGGGAGCCTCGGAAAGTAGGCGAGGGAGGTGGTGGGCGAGGCGGCAGTCGGGGGCGAAGAGTGCGCGGTCCGCGAGAATGGCGGGCGGGTGGGTCAATGATACATGAAACAGGTGTTTATATATGGCGAGATGCAAAACGAGGGGTGTTTTGATGCAATAGGCCGGTCAAAAGAGGGCTGCCGGCGTCGAAATGGTCAACAGAAAAAGAGAAAAATCGAGTGCAGCGATACGTGATGATCGCCTCAAACTGATAACGTCCACAGCCAAAATTTTGCCCACCAGTCCCAACGCTGGTGCAGTCAGTGGGGATGAGCTCTGCCGTGACCAATCAGATGTGAGACAAGATTTTCCAGAAGGCGAAACGGAGCTGGTCTTCAACGGGCACGGACTCCTCCTGAAAAGATCACCCACGATATCAACATCAACATCACGGCTCATTCAATTGCAAAACAAAACAATCATGGCCGGACCCTCTGTCACCGGAGCCATCCGCTGCTCATCTTGCACTCGGTCTGTCTTTCGAAGCTTAATAGGAAGCATCGCGGAATCCCGGACACCTCAAGCAGCACTTCGTTCCCAACGTTTGGTAACCCCGGCTGTTGGCTCAAGATATCATTCATCTTTTCGAGCATCCCCGCCACTGAGGGGAGGACCCGCCTTGGAAGAAACCCTTCAAAGAAAAGAACTCGACGGATCCATCTCTTCATCGAAACTCGACAGCAACAATGCAACCACAACCACGACCACCACTACTACCAGCAGCGAGCCATCCGATGTCCCTTGGTACCTCCAGGTTGAGCCGCCAAGACATCCAACGCTGATGCACGAGCCGCCACCATTGCCAGACATCCCCGAGGACTCGCCCAAAGTGATGGAACCTCTCCTCAAGTACATCTCAGAGGAATTGGGTATGGATGATTTGTCCCTGGTCGACCTGCGTGATAGGGACCCTCCAGCGGCGATAGGCCAAGACGTCATCATGATTGTCGGCACAGCCCGCAGTGAGCGCCATCTTCACGTCTCTGCTGATCGGTTGGTGCGATGGCTGAGAGGTCGTGGAATTGGTGCCGACGCGGATGGTCTCTTGGGCAGGAATGAGCTCAAGATCAAGTTGCGCCGTATCGCGCGCAAGGCCAAGATGCTGGGGACCGCGAGGAGTGCTCGTGCCGGTGATGATGGAATCACCACCGGTTGGATCTGCGTCAACCTGGGAAACGTTGGTGGGTCGAGAAGGGAGGTTCAGATGATAGACGAGGAGGGGAGGTCCATGGGTTTTGGCGTGCCCCGGACAGGGGCCTCGGTTATTGTTCAGATGTTGACTGAGAGCAGGCGCCAAGAGTTGGATTTGGAAAATCTTTGGGAAGAGATGGGTAGGGAGGCTGTTGAGACCTACGAACGCCCACCGCCCCTCCGACGGGACTTCAGTGGATACAAGGCGTATGCCGGTCGTCGCACCAGGTCAGAGGGATATCGTCCTCGACGCATTCGCGAATTCTCTACCGCGGCGGTACCTCAAGGGACAATAGGGGCTCTTGCGGTGAAGGCGTTCAGGAATGGGCGTGGTTGAGGACCCATCGAGGCAACTACCAGGTATGATGTGAGCTGTAATGATTAGTGTACAACACTGTACTGTATCTGCATGCAACCTTTTGTTACACAACAATGGCATGTCCTTGGCAAATCAGGGTGAAAAAGTGTCTGGGTATGAAGGCTTTGTGTCACACTCAATTTTCTGTTTCTTTTACAACCTCGCAGACTCCTTCATGACCTCTCTCAACATGGGAGCCACCTGCTTTCTGCTACTCCCAACATCCATCTGCCTCCAACATGCCCTCCACTCACCACCCTCCTCCCCATCCAGTTCTCCATTGTTCCACTTCTCCAGCCCCAGCGACCCCCCATTCTTCTCGGCAAATCTTCTCGCGACCTTCACAGCGTCCTGACCACCCAACCCCCAAACAAGCAGCTCCCTCGTAAAGACACCGCCCGGTTTGGAGACTGTCATAACCGCCGCAATATCCAGCTGCTGCTCCTTGGCCCAGTCCTTAAGAGCAGCCAAGAACGTCTGCTTATCCCCCACCTCAGCCAAGCAAGTCTCAAAGCCCTGAACAACGGTTGATATCCCCAAGTTCAACGACCCATCGGTCCACTTTTTGTAATCCTTTCTGAGAATGTCGCGGTAGGACAGGTGAAGGATACTATCCTTCAGCTCCGAAAGATGATCAAAATACTTCTCTCTGTCGTATCTTTGCCTGTTTGACCTGGCAACACTGAGAGTGGCAACAAGCTTCTCCTCCGCATACGCTGCGGCATTGACATCCCAGTCTGTGGTCTTGTCTTTTGAAGTGAGTTTGACAGTGTCGATCAAGATGGGAGCCATGGCCACCCTGGCCAGTTCCTCGTCGATTTCTTGGTGGCTTTGGAGCTGATCCCAGATTGGCTGGCACTGTGAGAGAACGAGACTCATGCAGCTGCCGCATTTGGCGAATACTCTTGGTTGGGCGTCGGAGGGGATGATGCCCTCGTCATCGTGGTGGTCGACGCAGCCTATGACGGATTTGTCGTAACCGCGCTTAGTGAGGTCGCCGGTGAGGACGTTGTGGTCGACTAGGTACCATTTTGTTGCTGATGGTGGCAGATCAGAAGGTGAAGGGAGGTCGGAGAGGGTGATCAGGTCGTCTGGGGTGACTGAGTTGGAGGAGGGGGCGAAGATTGCGTTGAGCTCAGCACGGAGGGCAAGGTCGGCAAGGGGGAGGTTGGAGAGCGGGATGTGGAGAGCTGACTGGGATGAAGGGGCATGGGTGCGGAAGTAGGCATAGAGGACGGCTGAGCAGATTGAATCCAGGTCTGACAAAGAATGTCAGTGAGATGAGATAAGATGGGTATAAATGTGTGTGTATGATGGGGGCATACCAGCAGACTCATTTCCTACCACAAAAGTGAGAGGATTCGGTCTTTGAGATGGAGGTGCCGTGAGTGCCTTGCGGGCTGTAGCCAAAAATGACTTGAGGGACACCCTCTGTGCCATGGTGAATTGCACTTTTGGTGAGGATTCTGTGAAGATTCTCCGACTTGAGATGAATGAACTTGCAGCTCGTCTGACCTATATGTCAACCTCTGGCCCCTTCAGAGGCTCCTACAACTTCGAATAAAGATACGTACGTAGCACAACGGCAGGTGCGGAGAAAATTGCCCTTCTCGTGTTAAAGGTTCCCGTCAAGAGTAGCCGTCGGGTATCACACGAGCACAACAGCCTTGCTTGCCTTGTCAGTGTAAATTTAGATGTCAAACAGGGAAGTCCCCATGAGGAACCCAGGGGCCCAGGACCCGGCAAGCAACGGCTCTTGGCGCTGTCACGGCCCGACAGAACCCTGGAACGCCGTGGCAGGTGGGGGCCGCTTCTCCGACAACGGCCGAGCTTGAATACGGGAAGGTCCACTCGCGCCTTATCATCTCATCCGTGTCATTGATAAGCCCCGCCGTTGAGCTGCCATCTCATCTCACCCAAACACCATTTGTTTTGTCGTGATAGCGCTTCATGATAGTCATTCAGTACCCAGCTGTGTTTTGTTTTTGGACATACCTCAGCTCATACCTACTGTCAACACCACACCAGCAGCATGGCACCCATCCGCCTCGCCATCCTCGAAGCCGACACTCCGGTTCCCCAAGCCAACGAAAAGTACAAGGGCTACCTCGGCATTTTTACTCACCTCTTCAGACGTGCTGCGGACCCTGAACCTCTCGAATCAATTTTGACCATCACGGGCCATGACATTGTCGCCTTTCCCTCCACCGCCTACCCCGACCTCGACTCGATAGACGCAGTCCTTATCACCGGCTCAAAGTACAACTCGTTTGATAATGACGACTGGATACTGTCCCTGGTGGAATTCACCCGCAAAGCTCTCATCCATCCCCGCGTAAAAGTAATAGGCGTCTGCTTCGGGCATCAGATCGTGGCCAGGGCAATGGGATGTCTCGTTCAACGAAGTGACAAGGGGTGGGAGGTCTCAGTGACGGAAACGACTCTCACAGACAAGGGAAAGCAAATATTTGGAAACCACCAAAGTCTTGTACGTTGCCCCTCTCCCCTATCCTTTTCACCTATTCTAATAACAATCCACCAGAAAATCCAACAAATGCACCGCGACCAAGTCTACGGCATCCCCGCTGGCGCCCAACTCCTCGCCTCCACCGAAAAGTGCCCCAACCACGGCTTCCTCGTTCCCAACCGTGTCATCACTATCCAAGGCCACCCGGAATTCACCTCTGAAATCATGAACGAAATCCTCGTCTTGCGGCACGGCACCGGCTTGTTTACTGACGAAGTGTACCAGTCTGGCGTGCAGCGCAATGGCGATCACCACGACGGGGTGGATGTCACCAAAGTGTTTATCCAATTTCTTCACGGCGAGTTCGATGAAGAGGAAGATCCAGCGCAAAAATAGAAAGCTCCACATTTACCTAGCGATAGATTCGAAATGCATGCCGAATGTGCCGAATAACACGTATCTTCCCTGTTTACCGTGTACTTGGTAGTGCGAGTGAAAAAGAAACGCTTTTGGGTTACGTATTCAGTCCAGAGCACTTCACACCGATATCATGTTGCCACAATAACTCCATCACCTCACAGTCCTTTTACCATTGACCTCTCTTCAGGTGGTCAGATTGATGGAGAGGTGCCGTATCTAAGCTCAAGTCTCACCCCCTGTCCACACTAAACAACCCCCCCTGACACCCCCAGATCTCCCTCCGCCGATCACCCGCCCACACCATCTCCGCGCCGCAAGATAGATCGCGATCATCACACCTCCCACCTTCCATTTTTATCTCTTTGTCCCCTGACTCTATTTAGGCAGCAACAGCAGCATGTCTCGGTCAAAGAGCACAAATGTCTCACTCTTTTCAAAGTCTAGACCCAACTTTCCCCTCCGCAATGTATGTCGTTGAGCAGAATATGTCTTGGTGGACTTTGATGATCACACCATCCGCTTTTGCTCCGGACTGATAACTTGCGAATAGGTTGCTCGGCTGTCGATGCGTTGCTGAATGTAAGATACACCGAAGCAAGACCTCACGCACTAGAGGACAAATCACCGACGTGGTGCCTAGCTGACTTTGAATGGGTAGATACCTCGTGAAGCGTTGATGTTGATGTGATGTTTCTGCCGTGTGCATGGTATATTCAAAGTAAGAATGACCATGACTGACGGTATTCCTCAACCCAAGCCTGCCCACCTGCTCCATCCACAACTACCCATGATCACAGCACAAACCCCAAACGATCATCGTAAATGCCTGGCTTCAAAGCCAATGTAATTCCTATCTGACTGACTGCTAACAATGTCTACCGCGGCCCAGCTTGTCCCATCCACCGTTTCCCACCTCAACCTATGCAAATGCTCTCATCCCACCTAGAGAAGAAAAGGAAAAACGCCATGAAAGAACAATGGGGGTATACCGGTATAGATCCATCTTTTTGCCCTTATAACGCCATTTGACCCATGCAAACACAACAAACCAAAAAAAAAAAAAAAAAAAAAAAAAGACAAAGAAAAAAAGCTGAATGCATGAACCACCCCTAAAAAAACTCCCATTATACCTTGGTAAAAATGAATAATGCACCCTGTAACCCTCAAACCGCCGCACTGTGACTCCTCTCCCCTCTTTCCCTTCTCCTTCCAGAATGAACCCTCATCGGCGTTGACTTCGCCGTCATCTCTTCCCCCTCTGGCTCGTCTTCCTCCTCATCACTATCTATCCCTATCCTCTCCAAATCCACATCCCACCACTCCCTCTCCCGTGCATGAACCGCCCTAACCCCCCTATTTATAGCCCGCCTCTCACTCAAAATCTCCCCTTCCCTCCTTTCCCTCGCCAACCTCCCATCCACCAGCATTTCTTCCCTCGTTCTGCCCGCCGTGGTCCCCCCCCCGGCCTTCGTGCTACTCCCCGCCCACCCAAAATAATACCCCAACCGCTTCCTCACCACCTCCCCCACCTTTCGTCCACTCGCATGCCTCCACGGCTGCTCCCTCACCGCAAAAAGCATGCAGTCCACCATTCCTTGCACGCTCAGGCTCAGAATCCCCAGAATCAGCAACCACTGCGGGTCGTTCTTCTTGACCGAGTCATCATACCCCATGACGTGGCTCACAAAGGGAAAGGTCCAGATGATCATGTACACGAGAGGATATACGAAAAGTGACCGTAATTGGCGGCGGATTTTCTCCCGGTTCTTGCTCACGTCGCTGCCGCCGGCGGGCTCAAACGCTAGAGTGGAGGCGTTAAGGTAGGTCGCCCCCACGGGATAGTTTCCCGCCGTGTTGGTCTGTGTTGTTGTGCGAGTTCCACCCGACAAAGGTGTGCCCGCGGCGGAGGAACGGTTGGAGGGTCCGCGGCGGAGCATAGTAAAGATGTTAGGGAGGGAGAGGACCCGTTTGCTGTTGTTGGTCGCTCTCGAGGTGCTGGTGCTATAACGAGAATGCCCTCCGGCAGGGTCGAGACTGCCGGGGGCGGTCGCGTATAGGGGTCGGTCGAAGAAAGTGTCACTCGGTGAGGATGCTGGGTATGGATCGCCGAGCACCGTGGCGCGCCGGAGAGACTGTTGCCCTGCTATTGGGACGGCGGAGACAGGAGAGGCCGCGTGAGCCGCCGGTGGCGGTGAGGGTAAGCCTGGATCCACCGCCGACAGAGGGTCATGCATGCCGTCGATTGACACGTCTGGTGATGTGGTTGCCTGGTTGAAGCCGCCCCAGTTCCATTGGATCGACCGCCTGGGCTGAGAAACCGGTGTTCTAGACGGGGAACCACCCGCAAAAGAGGACTCGGTGTTTCCTGTGTCCTCCACCCGCAACGTGCCGACGGAGGATGCGGACATTTGCCGCGTCTTCACGAGGTTGATCGTGTCAGTAGTAGAGGTTCGTTTCGAACTGGGTGTCGATGGAATAAGTCCGTGATAAGAGATTCGCGGTAGCGTTAATGCGGGGGAGCTGAGCTGTCGCTGGTGTCCGTCTGGTTGCTGATATGTTTGATCCGCACCGCTCATTCGCCGTGGAGGCGGCAGACTAGTGGAACTCCTTCTCCCATAGTCGTCCATCCGCTTCCTGATGTAGATATAAATAAAAGCGTATATACCAATGATGCTGGCACATATCAGATACCGTGGTATCCAGCTCAGTGCCAGCCTGGACCAACCATTGTCGGTCCGGAGGTAGCAGTAGTGTCCCACATTCTCAAACCCGTTGCCATTGATAAAAGCCAAACAAGCGGTGGAAACTGGAAACAGGTAAAAGACCGAGTATGCCAAGTGTCGGTAAGGGTAGAGGCCGGATTTCGGTCGGAATATATACATGACGGAATGCAACGCAATGAGTAGAATGGCGACATCTGAGGATTCGATGCCGATAGCGAGGGCAAAGCCGCTGAACTGGCAGAAAGCTGAATCCGACTCGATGGTCCCTTGATATAAGCTGACAAGCGGAAAGACAACGAAGGCGGCGGACTTGACAAAGTCACTTTGGACCAGCAACAAGATCAACCTGCATTCTCTGTTAGTCCATGTTCCAATAACTGAACCAAACGTGGATGGGCACTTGCTCGTGCCGGAAACTTCGCCTCATCTTGACAAACCAGTAGAGGGTGGATAATGTCGAGACGACGCTGACCGAAGCAAAGGTGAGAGATAATATTGTCAGGATGTAGACTGTGTGTTCTGTGTGTTGGTCATCGGCGACGTATCGGCTCGTGATCGGTGACATCAGCTCGACCGGCACGGAGCTCCGTACGCTCGCTGGAGACGAGCGGTGGAGAAGCTCCATCATGGCAGAGAAAAAAACCATCCTTCCACCCACTGGCTAGACGAGAGGTCCAGCTACCGTTGAATATGATGTCCATGAAGGCGGCGGCACATATTTGGTTGGGTTTGGTTCGTCGGCGTCGGCGGTGGTAGTGGTCAGCAAACGTCGCCGAGCAGGTTCCCTAGAGTCGAGGGTCCATGGAACCAAGATAGAAAGAGGTAATGCCGAAATGCAGCCAGAACTGCGGGTGTCGTAAAAGAGTAGAAAAGGGAAGAGTGAGCAGAGGTGTGGCTTCCAACTACCGAGGATATAAGGTACGAGGTATGAAGTGCCTGGGGAGGCAAAGTGGACCAACACAGGGCCGGTAAAAAAGCTGTTTTCAAAGAAAGAAAAGGAATTGGCCAGGAGATAGTTGACGGCAGCCGCGAGCGGTGGAATGTTTGTTGTTGACTCGCCTACGCAGCACACAGCTTGGCAAAAGACCAGAGACCTTCGGAACTTGGAACCTCTCTCAAGGGACACGGGCATGTGGCATCACAAACAAGATGGGTATCAAAAAACAGCCCCAAGGAAATGAAAAGCGAATCTGTCCGGAAAAAAAAGAAATACAAAAATGTACACCTGTGTAGGTGGCAGGCCCCCGGAACAAGGAACGATGGGCCGTGGGGCGGTCGAGGTGGAAGCGATCAACATGATCATATCCAGGACATGGACCTGGGTCCGGATTGGGCTCCCCGGAGTTGCTTTCTGACCACAACTCAACTCTGAACAGTAGCACATACAAAAGAAAAGGCTCCCTCTGTCTCTGCGATCAGAGAAAGCGAATGGAACTTTGGGACGGGTGGGGGTGTCATTTGCTCTTTGCGAGACCGGTCACACTCTTCTCAGCCCACGTCACAAAATGTGGTTCACAGTGACTGGCTGTGCAGGCGCCGCAGAGAAAAGAAAAGTGAGAAGCGACAGACCTACCAGAGTCCCATCTCCAGTGTGTGAATGTCTCCCTCCTTGCCAGTAGGTGAGCTTCTCCACTGCCCGCTGATTGATGAGGATGGCCATGAGGTCATCTACCATAAAGTCGTCCGTGATGCCTTGACATTCCAAGAATTCAGGTTGGCGCCAGTCCAGGTGACGGGACCGGATGGTGGGATCACCCGCAGGGTAATTTATCGGGGCGCTCTCGATCTGGCGCATGATGAGCCGCGGCGGCCGTCAATGACAAGCGAGACCGAGATCTGCTTGGGCTCTTGGCTTTGCGGAGTCGTAGTGATGTGGGTGTGTGGGTGTTGGAAGAATGCCCAGCCATTGGCCCGACCAGCCAACCGGACGCATAAGCTCCAAGTGCTGCGCTGCCGAGGGAACCTGCTTTTGTCAAGGCGTCGCCGTGTCCGAAGACTTGCTGCTTCGGCTTGCCATTATCGAGGCCCATGTCTCAAGGGATCAAAAAGTACCTGTCGGGAGAAAAGAGAGCATATGGCACGATGGATTTCCAGGCCCTCGGAGATCTGCCTGATCCGTGCCCTCCTTGAACCGCCTCTCTGCCCTGGGCGGTCTGTGCATCGCGGGGGCTCCCGCCGCCGTTGAACCCAATTCATCATGCCGGGGTGAGTTTTTCCGCCCTGGCCTGAAAAGGTTTGAACACACCATCGTACGAAAGTGAAGATGACGGGTTGGTTTTTTCTGTTACAAACCAGCAGCTCGGAAAATATTGTCTCTCCTGGATACGGTGGGGAATACCGTAAGAGAATTCTGCTAGTATCACATTTTTGACGCGCTTTGCTGACGCAAAAGAAACTTGTTCAAGCGATCCTTTCTCGGAGATTGCTCCCGACAAACCGATTTGGCATTTTTGGCGGTGGGAGAGGGAAACCCCGCATGGCGTTTGACTTTTGAAATCCAAATGCCACAAGGAGAAAACTGCCTCTCTCTCGGGCGACGTGTCATCCGTCCAGCCCAAATGCACGCCGGAACTGACATTCCTACTGCTTGCCCGTCTGCGGCTGGACCCTGCCACCCCAGTCTTGTTTGACATTCCCGCTGCCTGCATGGAGAGTTGCCTGCATTTTGTCCCGCTGCAGGAGCATTGGCCTTTTCCAGGTTTGTTGCTGGGGGGGGAAACCAACATGCCAGGGTGGAGATGGTTGGTGAGGCCTGCTTCGTGGTCTCCCCTTGCCCGTGGCTAGGTGTAGGTAAATTGTGCGAGGAGGCGTTTGACTTTTGAGATGGATACGAAGCAACAGATGTGGGAAAAGACCCCGAATGCTTGAACTTTGACGTTGAATGTAGGTGTGGCATGAAAGGATCCGGCAGTCTGGTTAAGCTCATCGACCTTCCTAACTGGGATGGCATTGGCCACACAACGTTCGCTTGGCGGAGCAAGGGCAATCCCTCGAGACATCCATCACAGCCCGCGTCATAGCAACTTCATATAAACGAAGACGGCAAGGAAGAGAAGGGAACTTGTGCAAATACAATATACACCTAGTCACCCCGAAGGAGGCAGCCCGCCATAAGAACCTTGAAATTGATCTGCTTCGGATTCAATGGCCGCCCTGTCCATCGAACTAGCCGCCTTGTCCATCGAACTAGCCGCCTTGCCGGAGTAAGACTAGAGAAAGACATACTGGGAGAAAGACATAGTGGGAACCATGAGACAATATGTATTGTAGATGGCCTTTGCTTGTATTACCGCCAATTGCTCTAACCCAACAGGTTGACATACGGCTCCGGCCACCGTCCCCAGACCATCGGCCGAGTCAACCGGCCGCTAACCGTAGACAGTATCTTCAGTCTCCGTCTGTCCTTGTCCACGTCCGATACGCAAACCCAACCGATGACAGGCGCCTGTCGTATTGTCTCCAGGGGGTCATTGACCGAGGCATCCATGACCGCCAGTGTCCAGTGTGACATTTCCTCTGAGATCTCTGCGTGCTCCAGAACCTGGTTCGGGTCGTCGAGATCCATGGCTGTTCATGTATTAGCCGTTGTATGTATGATGATTCAGATCCAGGACGCTTACCATCAACGGCCCTAAAGATCACGACGTCGTCAAAACTAAACGACTGCACCGAAGGACTAAGAGCTCGCTTGGAATCGCCAAAAAAGTAATCCTTGATCAGAGCCTTGCGTGACGAGAGCAGATGCTGTCTGTCTTGCTCCACCACTCCATCAGGTTTGTCAAGATTCACAATCTCAATCGGCTCCCCTAGTGGTGTCTTCCTATCTCGGCGCCTCAACTTAGCTTCCAAGTCTGGTGACCCAAGCACGATAACGATATTGACTGCATCACCACGTCAGCCTTCTTCTCCCCTTTTCTTCGTTTCACACCCAACCTACCAGCAAATTCTCTAATGACGTGCATCAACCCCTCCACCCCTCCCCCCCTTTCCCTCTCTTCCTCTCCATCCTCCCCTTTTACCTTCACCTCCCCCTTCCTCACCTCCACGGCCGGGGTATCAACAACCACACCTCCCCTCCTCACCCCTTGATCCCCCCCCGTCTTCGCCCTCACCGAGCTCCCCAACCGTCTCACCAGATCCTTCCAAAGCCCCTCATCATCCTCCACCCTCTCCCTCCCAAAGTAATACCCCACCGGCAACTTCACCGGCACCGCACTCGGCCCACTAGACGGGGTACACCCCACCCCAACCCCCCCCTCCGGGTCCTCCACATCCATCACCGTAGCAAACACCGCCGCCGACAACGTCCCCGGCAAAGCCAACATCCCATCCCTCGGATCCACCGTCGCCAGCACAGGCTGCTCCCCCTGCCTCGTCGCCCAACCAATCAGCATCTTCGCCAGCGAGCTCTTCCCGCTCGCCGGCGGGCCACAAATCATAACCCTCGGCCCACTCCCACTCCCACTGCTGCTCTGCGACCTCCGTGCCTGGAGGAGGAAGTGCAAGTTCAGATAGGCGGCAAAAGGCGAGTCGGCAGAATGGGGGTAGTGTTTTACGTGCTCGGACTCGAATTCACCCGTTATTTCGAGCGTGGCGCCCGTGAAGGTGACGATCTTGGAGCGGCAGCGGGTGAGGTTGTAGGTTTTTGTCTGGGCGAGCTCGGTGCCGTCGCGCTCGGCGGTTCCGGAGAGCAGTCGGCAGGTGGCGGTGGAGGTGGGGGATATTTGGAAGCGCCATTCGGAGAAGGGGTGGAGGGTGAGAGTGCGGGTTGATGGGAGGGAGGCTTGCTGGGAAGAGTGTTAGTAAATGGTTGGAGGGGGAGACCTAAGAGACATACCTGGGCGGATATGTGCCCTAGGCCGGGGATGGACATTGTGGCTGGAATTTGGATGGTAGGTTCGCAGCGAGATGAAAGATTCGATGCGAGATGCTCGTAAGGTGGTTTTATTGCTGGGAGACGCGTTTGAAGCCTGAGCTCTATTTAGCGTTGAGTGCTGGAAGGAGAGCTGAGCGTAGGGCTGCAGGGCTGGAAATTTAGCGGTTATTAGTGGGGGCTCTGCTTGCCCGTCACCCAGGATCCCACACAACGAAAGGCCTTGGACAGACTCACTTTTCTAATGTCTTCAACATCAGCAGGAAAACTGGACGTCTTGATTGGTCAGCCTGGAGAATGAGCTATTGCTACGAAGCTCTTCGACACATGAGGATGGCAGCCGTACCTTCTTCTCAGACGGGAATAATTCTACATTCTGCGCGCAACTTCGCATTTAACATTCCCAAAATGTGACACAGACTTGAACCAAAAGATTGAGAAGAGTAAATCTGCGCTGAAATGTACGGCAGTGGGTATTCGAAATTCAACGCTATCTGTCTCCAAGATCCCGAGATCATGTTTACCTTTCCCGGTCATTATCATGAGATTCCCAAATGCATATGCACCACTCTTTTTATGCGCCGGAAATTCGTCTATGGTCTTTTTTTCCCTTTATTTCGTCAACTCCTCAAAAATCTTGATAAGACTTCTAACGCCAAAAAGGCTGTTCTCATCTGGCCCTTGCCCAGGAACCCAGGTGGCATGCGCAAAATCGATCAGCTTGAGCGAGTAGATCTTTGGCAGTGAGGCAAACTCTTCGTCATCGCTCTCCGCCTCCCCGGCGAGCTGGAGGACCTTGACGTCTCCCTCAATGACTCCATTAATCGTGGTACCATTCCCCTGCGGCAGGATAATCTCTCCTTCACCGTCCATAACGATGCCGCTGTCAACGCGGGACGCGAGGGGAACAGGTTCCTTCTCGGTAGCCTCCTTTGGTGGGGTTGTTGGCGTTTGGTTCTCGATGGCCGCCCTGAGCGCATCACCATCTCCTTCAAATGTAAACAGCAGACTGGCCGAGTACATTCTTGTTTCTGAGCTGGCAAGGACCTGTTCCACTCTCTTCAGGTCGTTGACGAAAGCCTCGGCCACAGCCCGCCCAAGGTCCTCGTCGATATTCGCTCGCGGGTTAAAAATGAATTTGCGAATCTCATCCACAACGTTGTCCTTGTTGACCACCAGCCTGCCATGGTCCTTGTTATAGACCTTGTAGCCTTCCTGGTCCCACTCGTCTGGGTTCTCCCCCCCCTTGTATACGCGCATGCCCGCGATGCGAAAACCGTGCGATCCGTTTGTGGTGACCTTGGTGATCTCGTCGAACCGCTTGCGCTTCTCCATGGGCGCATCGTCTGCCCAAAGTCTCTGACCAAGCTTGGCGTCCAGAATATTGGGGCGCTTGAACCCGTAGGCAGCATTCTCCAACACCACTGACTTGTCCGTGGCAATCTTGCGGCTCTTGTTGGGTTTCCAGGAGACATTGTCCTTGCTAGCAGCCAGCGCATCTGCCTCCTTGGCAGCCTCGGCCGCCGCGACGTCGGCAGCGTGTTGCTTGGCCATCCGGACTGCCTCCTCCTTGAAGTGCTGAGTCATATGCTCAACAGCCGCGGGGATCTGCTCCTCGATATCGTGGACATCGGATGCGTCGTTCAGGACGAGGGTGCCAAGATACTCGGGCATCAAGTCGGCAAAGGCGGGGTGGTCCTTGAAGGCCTTTTCGTAAAAGTCGATTTCTTGCTGGACACAGGGCTTGATGAAGAGCTCGCCTTCGGGATCGCAGAGTGTGCCATCGCTATACAAAAATAAACATGTTCGTCAGTTACCTTTGCGCCATGCGCGCGCGACGAGGCGGGGCTGTGCGCTTACTGTCCAGCGACGGCGAAGTTGTAGGGCTGCAAATCAGCGTGCTTGGGGATCTCTCTGTTGCTAATCATTTTGGCGATTCTTTGGGACGATTCTCTATGATCGCAGAATTTCCAAGGAGAAAATGCGAATCAAATGTGTGTGGATTTGCCTGCGGGCTGCCTATTTGTATTGGGGGGAGGGGTCGGGCCGCAATTGTGAGAGCTGGGTGCATCGAGGTGCGTCGGTCTGTCAAAACATAAAACAAGGGTCGATGATGGTCTCTGGAGATGTTGGTTGAAGGAAAGCAGCGGGTCAATGTGATGGGAAAAGCGGACATTTTCTACAAGACTCGGAGTTTTGCGGATCGGGGGGCGAACGGCATGGGGGTTGGTGGTCGGCGCATCGCAGAGGCGGAGCGCATTGCCAACCTCCAACTCCCAAAAGCGCATCTCATCTCATGAGGTCTCTCCGCACTCACAATAGTGGATCGCTTCGCCAGCGCCAAAGGATTGGGCAACCAATGGCATCCCTCAGGGTCCTCTTCATGCAGACTGCAAACAGGGGTCGGGGAGGACTTGTTCGTCACTGCGCCCACTCGCCCGAACTGTGAATGTCTCCCGTCAAATCATCAACACCGCTCCCCGCGGGCTGTGGCGGTCCTCGGGGGGCGGAAACACACGTATACAGGCACAACCTTCGGCACCGGAGGCGTCCTGTCCAGCCACGGCCCATACACAGGGCAACCCCCTTCCTACCTTACCTTCCGAAATCTGCCTTGTGAAAGGCTTGTCCATTCATCATTCTCCCTGCTGACCGCAGCGTCCTGCAGAGGCAACGTGGATTCGGGTCACGGCATGACCTGCATACCTAGGCTATCAACCTGTCAGACAGGATCTCCCATCTCGCATTGTCTCCTGATACGGACTCGAGAAGATCATGGTGGGTGTCATTCACCCTTCCAGAAACACCACGCGGAGTTCCTCTGTGATGGCAAGGCGATACCGTGAATCATTTTTTACTCATATCTTCGAGGCTTACGGATACCTACCTACTACCTTACATCTTGGATCGTATCATGAAAAAGGTCAGCAAGTTGCAAGATGGCCGGTTTTCCGTTCAGATGGTGCTGAACTTGCTTGGAGGCCCCGCCATTCAGCTGTCTTGCCAGCGGCCTTACCAGGTTTTGCATAGCGTACCCACCAAGAATTGTTAATGCAGCGGAAGTGAGTGAGCTGATGGCCGGCAGTTGGGTCGCTTGCATGCATTAGTTTTGTGGACCGTTTGACGACAGGCCTCCTCCAAGCAGAACATCACCAACATCTTTGACGATGTCTTGAGAGAAAGCAAAGAGAGTTATTTCTATGAAACATTGCGGAGATTGGCGCTTCTAGGGTCCCTGCCATCGTCAATAACGAGAGCAGAGGTTTCCTTTTTGGGATTTGGTGGCCTCTGAAGATGAGGTCAAAACTCACCCACGAGAGCAACCGCTGAGGTGGTTTGACAGTTCTTGACATGGAACAAACGAAACACCGGGCAGTCAGCAAACACACGGCTTCTCTACAGGCTGCAATGGCTGCCTAATACCGTGCTTGCAAGAGAATGTTAGGCTGGCATCTCGGATATGGATCCAGATTGCTCCGATATCACCATCTGTCATTCCATCTTATCGCACTTGCCTCTGGTTGCTACTTCCCAAAGCGAAGCTTCCAGTTACAAGAGATGAACTGGGCAGAATTTACCAGAGTATTCATACCTTGGAGTAAGTGCAAAGTCTACGGTATATTATCAACGTGACTGGCCTGAGCTCCTTCCTCGCAACTCTCAGAGCAACTCTTCCGCCCCGCCTGTTTGTTACCAGGTTGTTGCCTTCGCAGAACATTCCCCATTCAATCTCTTGTTTTTTGAATTCAGAGGGCAGGATCTCGCGTTGATATCACATCTCTAAGCCTCTTTTCTCATTCCAACCTTTCTTCTTCGGGCAACCCGGCCACATTTCCCTCACCCGACCCCTTCGTCCTCAATACTTTGCAGCCGTATCCCAGCAATCATGGACTCCTCGCCGACAGGCACCGCCTCGATCGGCGACCAGGTCTACGGGAGCCATGACGCCGAGATCCCGGATATCTCTGAACAGACAAAGCTATTCAATGAAGCAATGGAGGGCAAGCCTGACGACAACGGCAAGAAGAAGAAGAAGAAAAAGAAATCTAAGGCCACCAAGCCGACCGGGTTTGAGGGTGAGTCGACACTGTCCAGGTGGCTGTGCACCATCATAATACACTCCAACCTTTTTGTCATGTAGCTAACATCCATCACAGAGTATTACTGCGAACCGGTGATGACTCCCGCCGAGGCTTGGGACGAGAAGAACCTGATTTATTCTCCCGACCGTTCCTTTGTGGAGCGCATCGAAGAGGGCATCCAACGGTACCGTGCCCGGCGCCGCCTGGATGCCGTCCGAAACCAGGTCTTTACTCAGTACCTCATCCTTGGCGGTGTCGATGCCACTGCTCGCCAGTTCCAGGGGGCGGATAAGCTGCCTGATGACCTGATCCGGGAGTCTACCAAGGGTGAGCTGAGGGACATGGTGTCAGATGATGTGATTCATCGTGGGGGGGAGGGTGGTGGTCGGTTCTATCATCCGGCCAGTTCTGAGCATTGGGATGTGGACTTTACGGGGGTTGTGGCTGGGTTCATGTGAGTGTTTTGTTGCTTTCGGGTGTTGGTTGGTATTGACTAACCCAACCAGGTCTCACAAAGTCCTTGACATGTCTGGCGGCGAGATGGAAATGATCTGGATCGCCTCGAACACCATCCAGAATTTTCTCAAGTATCTGATCCTCCATGATGTCTGCCCCGAGCACGCCGACGATATCAACAGAGCCATCAAGCTTTGTGACCAAGCCTTTGAGGAGATTGGTCTCGTGAGCAACGCTTTGGAACTGGTTCCGGGTGCCTTCAACCGCTCGGTTGCGGCGCTCCACTGCGAGGAAGAGGACGGCGATGCTATTTCTCTTCTTGTTGACAACAAGGATCTTGACCGCAACCATGCCCTCCACACCGTGGCTCTCATCGCGACTTTGGTCCTACCCACTCTTGGTGGTAGCAGCACGCCCAATGTCAACGCTATGGAGGTGACCAACCCTATCGAGCGCACCTTTGAGATCACATCCATCACCCCACCCACAAAAGAGATGCGCCAAAGGGTAGCCGTCGTCAGCGAGCACCTCAGAAAGTCCAACCCATCCGCCCCTCCCATCCAGGCCTGTGGCACAATGCAAGGTCACCCAGTTCTTGTCCTAGACGGGTGGGACGTCACTGAAAAGCTCACCGATGAAGAAGCCAAGGAGGAGTCCTCGTTTATTCTTGAAGAGCTGATTCTCGAGCAGCTGAGGGTGGGCATGAAGCTGACGATTGGGGTTTCGACTTGCACTTTTCCTAGGGGTGGGACCTTCAAGGTGATTCGCTATGTCAAGGGAATCAAGCCGAGCTTTTATACGTTCTTGCCACAGGATTTGATGAGGTATTGGAAGGAGCCGGTGCCGAATGAGAGACCTGGGCCTAGTATTCATGATAGGCATGATTTGCTTGAGTTGGCGGTGGGTGAGGATGAGACGGATGATTGATTTCCTTTTGGGGTACTTTCGCTGCAAAAAAGGGGGAATGGATGGCGTTGGGGTTACATCGTATGGAGATGAATGGGAATCTGCGATGGAAATATGAAGAGGCATGGCGTTGACTTCGGGTTAGGATTCGGGACAAGAACTTGAGTTTAGTGCGTCGAGAAATGCCATCTTCATGAGTCCTGCTTCCGGTGACCTGAACGTGATCAGGATGTGAACAGGGAGGGAAAATGTGACTGCTGTTGCAAGGTTAATAGGTGATCAAGTCGATAACCGTCTGTTCATTTCAATATTTGAAACTACACAGAGACCTGTAGGTAGCATTTCCATGTTTGTTTGTTCAAGGCATCTGGGATTATGAGTGACTGATATGAAACTCTACGACTCCATATAATGGACAGCGTCATGCTGTTTTAATCGGCACCATCGCTCAAGAAAAATCCAAGACACTGAAGTCCTGGAAGAGAGGTCGCTCAAGGTGTCATGATATTCGTTTTGTACCCTGTACATACCCACTTACACAAGCCTATAGCGGTTCCGTTTCAACCCTCTTGCATTTGTCATACATCCATCCCATCGTGCCACCCAGCCCATCCATGACCCCACAACGTAGACGCCTGACCAAAATGAAACAAAAGAAGCCGCCCAAACCCAAAACATCAAAGCCACCGTGTCCAAAGAAATCACCAGAGCTTTCCCCTCCACGGGATCCAGCTCACCCTCCTGCTACCTCTGCGTGTACGCCAACCCGAAGCCGTGGTGGCGTCACTAGCCCTCGAGTTTCTCCTGCTCCAGGTCACACTTCCCCTCCAGTCCTCCGCGCAACAAGGCCGCGAGCACCGTGGCGGCATGGGGAGATCCGACTCATCTGGGACATCCTAGGTCCAGTCCCACCATTTGATCGGGTTGATTGTTGCTGTGACCTTGGCAGCAGCGGTGGTTGCGTTCCGTTGAAGAGATGGAGTGAAACTGTGGTAAGAAGGAAGACGAAACTTCTAATCTTGGGTCTGAACCTTGTGGTCTCCGGGACCTTGGGCGACAACCTGGGCGTAACTTGGGGGAGGACCACCTGAGGAGGGGCCAGCGGCAGGGGCGACGCCCTCTTCGTGGCCACTGCTGTGGTTGTTGTTGTTGTGGGCTGTGGTGCCGTAGTTTGGCTGAGGATGGGCTTTGGGTTGCTGGTTTTGGAGACGGGGTTGACCTTGGTGAGGGTGGCCTTGACGGTGGTTGTTGTCGTGGACAAAGACGTAGACGCGGCCGTGCTCGGCGTTGGAGGGGGCTTGGTAATCGTAGTCGTAGGGTATGTCGGGGTACTTGGCGATGATGTACCAGGCGTGGATTAGGCCAGGGATCTTGAGGATGGTTAGGAGTGTGATTCATGGAGCTAGATCGGGGGAGGCGACTTACAAAACCCAAGCAGAGAAGGAGGATGTTGATTAGGGAGTCGGCAGAGCAAATTCCGCGCTTTACCCAGACTAGTGAGTGAAAAGTATCGTTAGTTTTGAACTGTTGACCGTTGTGATTTATGGCCATGGTGTTGACGCAGCGCGAAAGGCAACCATCATGACATGACATAGTGGTGGGGCAGGGTTCGCGTACCTGGGAGCGGGGGAAAGAGGATGGCCAGGATGCCGAGGAAGAGGTCGGTCGAGCACATGGCAATGAATAGGTAAAAGAGGGCTTTGTTGGAGAAGTGAGTGTGTTTGTTGTAGTGTAGAATTCGGTGTTCTGGTGAGGAATCTCAGGAATGACAAGAAGTGGTGTGTTCGGGTGATGATGGTTCGAGGACGCGGAGCTGCGTCAGTGATGCAAGAATATGGGTCCGAGAGGTCAGCTGTGCCAGGGGGGGCTTGCGTAACTTGCATGACGCTTGACTGTTTTTGGTCTGGGCTTGGACATTGGAGTGGCGTGCCTGGGGAAGAAGGTTTGCGAGGGTTAGGGTTGCTGCAAAAGGCGGTCGGGAAATTGATGGCAGAATCTCCAGCGCGAGCGACGCGACCTTGATTTGGAGCATGCGATAGGTGGTACGCAAACTTCCAACAGCTATTGGTGATCCATCACCTTGGCTTCAGACTATCCAACCCAATACCGACAAAATGGACGACTTGGAGTCCCTCGAGCTGCTTTCGCTCGTTTCCAAGATCACGTCGGAATTGCAAAACCATCTAGGCGTTAGCGAAAAAACACTGGCCGAGTTCATCATCGCCCAGCGCCTCGAATGCGATTCTCTCGATGGCTTCAAGGCCAAGCTGGCCTCGGTCGGTGCCAGCGACTTCCCGCCGAGTTTGGTCGATAGCATAGACAGGCTAGTCAGGACTATGCATCCAAAGTTCAAAGGACAACAGAACCGAACCAACGACGACAGCAGCCAGCGCCATGATCGATCCGCTGAAGAGACTACCAAGGTCTTCAAAGGGCTCGCGATTCCCGACAAGGAGGTAGAAGTGGAAGCTATCGATGACACATTCGCCATGCTCGAGAGCCTTGCGCCAAAACCATCGAATGGCAATAAAGAAAGACCGCCGAGGAAACGAAGCAGAACACCAGATGACCGCCGCGAGGACTCGAGACGAAAACGCAAGGACAGGTACAGATCACGGTCCAGATCCCGATCGAGGTCTCCACAACGAGGACGGCAGAGAAATGACCGCTACCGAGACGACGACGATGCGTATCGACGGCCACCTCCCCGCGATCTCGACGATACTCCACAGCTCAACAAGGTGTACGACGGTCATGTCACAGGTGTAAAGGACTTTGGCGCTTTCGTCAACATTCATGGTGTGAAGGGGAAGGTTGACGGCTTGGTGCACATCTCGGCGTTTGGTCAGCGAGTCAACCACCCAGAAGATGTCGTGACGCGAGGGCAAAATGTCAAGGTCAAAGTTGTCAAGATCGAGGGCAACAGGGTAGGCTTGTCAATGAAGGATATCGACCAGGAGACAGGCGTGGATATGGCGCCCCAAATAAGGATGGGATCGGGTGCCAATATGATGGCCCTGGGTGGTGGACCAACAGGAGGAAACGACCCGACAGGTTCGTTCATGGCGACTGCTATTGCCCGGCAACAGAAGAAGAGAATGACCTCGCCTGAAAGATGGGAGATTCGACAAATGATTGCTGCTGGAATCGCAAAGGCCTCAGACTACCCAGATTTGGAGGAAGAGTACAAGTCAACCCTTGACGGTACAGGGCAGATGGAGTTGGAAGAGGACGTCGACATCGAGATACGTGACGAAGAACCCCCATTTCTGGCCGGACAGACCAAACAGTCTCTCGAGCTATCACCCATCCGCGTTGTCAAGGCCCCAGATGGCTCCATGAATCGTGCCGCTATGGCCGGCACCAACCTTGCCAAGGAAAGAAAGGAGATGAAGCAGCAGGAAGCCGAAGAACAGCAGCAAAAGACTAAGGTCGATTTGTCCCAATGGCAGGATCCAATGGCTAATCCCGAGAACCGACAATTTGCTAGCGACTTGCGACGGCGTGCCCAGGCAACCCAAGCAGAGTCTGATTCTGTGCCCGAATGGAAGAGGGCCGTGGTGCCCAAGGATCAGCCCACGGGCAAAAGATCCGACATGACCATCAAGGAGCAGCGAGAGTCTTTGCCTGTCTTCGCTTTCAGGGAACAACTGATCAACGCTGTCAGAGAGAACCAAGTTCTGATTGTCGTTGGTGAGACTGGCTCCGGAAAAACCACTCAGCTTACCCAATACCTCGCCGAGGCCGGCTTTACCAACAATGGCATTATTGGCTGCACGCAGCCTCGTCGTGTAGCTGCCGTTTCGGTTGCCAAGCGTGTCTCTGAGGAGGTTGGCTGTCGACTGGGTGAGGAGGTCGGGTACACAATCAGATTCGAGGATGTAACCAGCCCGGCGACGAAGATCAAGTACATGACGGACGGCATGTAAGTTGATGCCCATTTGTTTAGCACCCCAATAGCTGCTGACATGCTCTAGGTTGGAACGTGAGATTTTGATCGACCCTGAACTGGGGAGATACTCAGTCATCATGTTGGACGAAGCACACGAGCGTACTATTGCCACTGACGTTCTGTTTGCTTTGTTGAAGAAGACCATGAAGAGCCGGAAGGACCTCAAGGTCATCGTCACCAGTGCTACGTTGGATGCCGATAAATTCAGCGAATACTTCAATGCCTGTCCCATCTTTACCATTCCAGGACGAACCTTCCCTGTCGAGATTCTCTACTCTCGTGAACCGTAAGTCAGGATCTCCCACGTGCAATGTTAGTTGGGTGCTAACGATCTTTAGGGAATCTGATTATCTCGATGCTGCGCTGACGACCGTCATGCAAATCCACTTGAGCGAACCCATGGGTGATATTCTTCTTTTCTTGACAGGTCAAGAAGAGATCGACACGTCCTGTGAGATTTTGTTTGAACGCATGAAAGCACTAGGACCGTCAGTGCCGGAACTCATCATTCTCCCTGTTTACTCCGCCCTTCCCAGCGAAATGCAGAGCAGGATTTTCGACCCTGCACCGCCTGGCAGCCGAAAGGTCGTCATTGCTACCAATATTGCCGAAACGTCGATTACGATTGATCATATTTACTATGTCATCGATCCTGGTTTCGTCAAACAAAACGCCTATGATCCCAAACTCGGCATGGACTCGCTCATCGTCACCCCTATCTCCCAAGCGCAGGCAAATCAGCGAGCAGGTCGCGCCGGCCGCACAGGACCCGGCAAGTGCTTCCGGCTGTACACCGAAGCAGCCTACCAGTCCGAGATGCTTCCGACGACTATTCCCGAAATCCAAAGACAAAACTTGTCCAACACTATCCTCATGCTCAAGGCCATGGGCATCAACGACCTTATCCGCTTTGACTTTATGGATGTATGTTGTTGCAACCCCACAGCTCGACTTATTGGGTTACTAACCGTGCTTTAGCCTCCACCCGTCAACACTATGCTTACAGCCTTGGAGGAGCTTTATGCCTTAGGAGCACTGGACGACGAAGGTCTGCTGACTCGCCTCGGGCGAAAAATGGCCGACTTCCCCATGGAGCCTTCTCTTTCCAAGGTCTTGATCTCCTCAGTCGATAAGGGTTGCTCGGATGAAGTTGTGAGCATTGTTGCCATGCTCAACCTCAGCACCATCTTTTACAGGCCAAAAGACAAGCAAAACCAAGCGGACCAGAAGAAGGCCAAGTTCCACGACCCACACGGCGACCATCTGACACTGTTGAACGTGTACAACTCGTGGAAGAATCACGGCTTCTCTCCAACCTGGTGTCACGAGAACTTCATTCAGGCCCGTTCGATGCGCCGTGCCAAGGATGTGCGGGATCAGATCGTCAAGATCATGAATCGTCATCGTCACCCCATCGTCAGCTGTGGACGCGAGACAGACAGGGTCCGCCAAGCTCTCTGCAGCGGTTTCTTCCGCAACACAGCCCGCAAGGACCCCCAGGAGGGATACAAGACATTGACAGAAGGCACACCCGTGTACCTGCACCCGAGCTCAGCGCTGTTCGGGAAGCAGGCGGAATGGGTGATTTACCACACGTTAGTGCTCACCACCAGGGAGTACATGCACTTCACCACGGCGATTGAGCCCAAGTGGCTTATTGACGCGGCGCCTACCTTCTTCAAGTTGGCACCAACAGACAAGCTGTCGAAGAGGAAGGCGGCAGAAAGGATACAGCCGCTCCATAACCGGTATGGCGGGGAGGATGATTGGCGTCTCAGCGCTCAGAAGAGAGGAGGCAGGGGTGGTGGTGGTGGTGGAACATGGGGTTAGATGGTGTTGGTTGTTATTTGCATCATCAGTCTGGAGTTGGACAAGACAGCATATGCATTCTATTCGAGCGTTTGACTAGTTGGTAACCAAAAGATACCCGTTAAACTTCTTCATTTTAAGGGGGTTCCAAAAACCGCCATGTAAAAAGTCTTGCTTCGGGAGCACGCCTGCAACATATATGGCCGCCTTGCTGGAGGCCAAGCGCGCCCTTTCCCAGGCGCCAAACGACAGTCGCGGCAGCTTCAAAGTGTGCATGTAGTGTGATATACTGTGTGGGATGCACTAAACGAGACCAAATCACCAATCCGTGCGGTGTTGCCGTTCCTACCTTGATGATTCTCTTGAGCGTTCTTTCCCTGAGCCACCGAGGCCAAATACCAGTCAGTCCTCTCATATATCTCACGACTTACCCCACTTTGCTCAACGCAGCAACTCACCCATCAACCGCACACCATCAATAGATTTGCACTGGATGCAAATTACCTTAGGCATCATTCAAGTCAATAAATTTTATCTTGTCATCCATTTCTATTCCCTCGTTTGGGTAACGTAACGATTCAGCATGACCCTCACCCAGCAGCAAGCTATCCATTTGGTTCAGAGCATTGCCGACGACCATGGCCATCTCGATGAGAAAACACTCGCTACAATGGACGCGGGCACCCGCTTGAAGGTTGAGAGAGCTTTGCTGGCAAAAGACCAACTTATTGGTCAGAGTGTTATTACGCAAGTATCTTCCCATGGTACATTATTGGAAGGCAGTGGCTAACCTTCTCAACGTTACAGCCTGGCCAGAGAACTGTACTCCAAAGATGTTCGTTTCATCTTTGAACTGCTTCAGAACGCTGACGACAATCACTTCAACCATGCGAAATCCAGCGGGCAAGAACCGTATGTCGCTTTCCTTATTTATCACGACAAAATCGTCATCGACTGTAACGAAGATGGCTTCACCGAAGAAAACCTACGGGCCATCTGTAGTGTCGGTAAGAGCTCGAAGCATGGCGCTCAAGGATACATTGGTGAGAAGGGAATCGGATTCAAGTCCGTCTTCAAGGTTGCTTGGAAAGTTCATGTTCAGTCGGGACCCTTTTCCTTTTGTTTTATCCACAGACCAGGTGACTCCGGTATGGGCATGATTTCGCCGGAGTGGCATCAATCCGAGGACTCGACGAGGCCTCCTACCGGCATCACCAGAATGACCTTCACCCTGCACAACAACCTTGATCAGAAGCTACAGGCAGCCCAACGTCAAAGTATCGTGAACGAGTTCAAAGACCTCCAGCCAGCCATGCTGCTGTTCCTAAAGAAGTTGAGACGCATAGAAGTACATTTCTTCGATGTCGAGGGAACCAAGGAGAGTCATTCTGCAATGTCTCTGTCTGCGCCAGTCGATATATCGAATCGAGCCGTCCTCACAACCACAAAGACAACTCACAATTCTGAGCCCAAGACGTTCAGTCATCACTACCATGTCACAAAGCTGTGGGCAACGGGCCTTGCCAGGAACGAGAACCGCAAATATTCACCAGCAGAAGAGTCCTCGAAAGCTTACTCTCGGACAAAGGTCGTCCTTGCGTTCCCTTTGACTGACCAGTCCATACCCATCATCGAGCCTCAGGATATTTTTGCTTTTCTACCGATCCGCAAGATTGGGTTCAATGTCAGTCCCCCACAGCTGAGCAGGCTCCCAAGTCGATAAGATCTGACTCCGATTTCTACCTACAGTTTCTGATCCATACTGATTTTGTCACAATGGCAAATCGGGAAGACATTGTCACGAGCTCACAACGTAACAAAGGTTTACGTCGGTATCTAGCTCAGGCCTTCGTTACCGCAGCCGAGCAGATGTGCGAGCATCCTCAGCTTCAGTTCCAGTGGATGCGATACCTACCTCGTCTATCGGGTAACCATTGGGATTCATTTTGGTCTGAATTCTCTGGAATATTGCAGGAAGAGATCACGAAGGTGGATGTGATCATACCTTTTACGTCGATGACCCCTCGGCCCCTGACTGCTCTTAAACAGTGGCCCTCTAAGATCTCGTGGCTGGACCACCTTGATCGCCCCGTCTTCGAGGACTTGCCTAAAGAGAAGGCGGCATACGTTTCACTTGAGTATCAGGATTCTGACCTGTCTATTCTCAGGGACTACGGGATGAAATATCTGTCTTGGGTCGACCTCATTTCAAGAGCCAAGGCTGACCTTAGGAGTCGCTCTTCAAAGATGAAGAGCCCTCAGACGGACGCTAAGTGGCATTCGCTGGCTGCCAAACTTCTGAAAAGGGGGCTGAGAAATCTCAAGTACGAGGAGGAAATCAAGGCTCTGAATCTTCTGCCACTCTCTGATGGAAGTTGGACAAGCGTTACCAAAGGAGGAAGTGTTTACTTCCCCACGACAACAGAGGGTTTCTCAATACCGGCGGAGCTGGGTCTCAAGTTCATCAAAGCCGATGCCGCAGTTCAACCTGAAAGGAATGCACTGTTTAAGGCTCTTGGTGTTATCTTTGCGTCATCCGACCTCATTCGATCTTTGGTTATTGGGTTCCAAGCTAAGCACAGGTCCTCCTCTCTTGAGACCTCTGTGGACATGCTCCGGTTTCTATATTTGACACACCCTCCGGATGCATCTTTGGGTGTTTACGATGTGATCTGGGTGATATCTTCCAGTTACTTGGATCTTAAGCCGACGGAAAACGACGTTTACTTCGAAGACGAGTCAGATCCCTACGGCCCTGCAGCCCTTGGGCTCGAGGTCAACTTTCTTCACCCACATTACCTACAAGAAACCCCGCAAACACCCGAAGACGCCACTCGCGCTGGTGAAGATGCGGCCAAAGGCTGGAGGAATTGGTTGGAACAACACATTGGTATCCGAACACGGCTGAGATTAGCAACAAAAGACGTCCCAAATGGGAAACCAGCCTTGTCAGAGGAGATTTTACATGTTGCAGAGCACCAGCCAACTAAATTCATCGGGTTACTTCACCATCTTTGGGAATACGAAGGGGAAAGTCTAGCGTCCAACGAAACCCTTTGTCGGCACCTGGGTAGCTTGGAGGTTCTCTGTGAAGGGGGTAGTCGAGAGCCTCTCAAAAACACTATATTGCCCACCCCAAAGTTGAGGGAATTGTCTCAGCGATATTTGGAGCCATCCCATGGCTCCAGATTCCTGCAACTCGAGATTAGCCTGCCCAACACGATAGGCAGCTGGAGCTTCTTGGCCAAATTCAATATCATTATGGATGATGATCTGCTTTTCTACTTGATCATACTGATGAGTATAGCGTCGAAAGCAGCATCTCTATTGATGAAGCCTTCTCGGATCCTGCGGCTATATGCGGCGATTCAAGCCAAGTGTCTGGCCAGCAATGATATTTCCGAGGCGCTTGAAGATGTGAGGTAAGATTATCATCGTTGACCAGCCCGCAACAACGAACCTGCTGACAAGCCTTTAGGCGCTTTTTCGCACATTCTCCTCTCACGTACATTCCTTCTACTCCCGGAGAATTTGGCACCTCTCCGCAATGGGTGGTAGCGACGCGGAGCTGTCTGCTTGATGCGCCAGCCGACATGAGGCATAGGCTACCACTTGACGCATTGTATAGCCAGGCCTTTTCGGATGATGCCAGCAAGTCTTTGTCCACAGTTTTGACATTTTTCCGTGAAACTGTCAAAGTTTCATCCTGCGATCATATGGCTTTTGTCCTTGAGTTGCAACACTTGAAGGTTAACAACTGTATGGATATGCCACTCATTCGAAGCCACTACAAGAGGCTCCGAAAGTGTATTTCATCGAAAGAAGACGATATAGAGCGGGTCAGGAAGTGGGTTGCGGAAAAAGCGCTGGTATTCTACCAGCCATGCAATGACGGCGAGCCCACGTGGCACAGCCCAGCTGACTGTGTATGGTCGACCGAGGCGGGACTCCGCGGTAAGGCCAATCTGCGTGAGCAGTACCCTGACTTGAAAGAGTTCTTCGTGGACCTGCTTGGGGTTGACTTGCTCAAAATCAACATGATATACGAGTTGCTCCTGCGACTAGACACCAACAGTCCCGTCGATTATCAAGAAGCAAAGACGCAACTCCTTGCCTTCAGCAGCCTTCTCCCGATGGCACCAGAAGAATTGTTGAAGACCATGAAGCCGAAGAAGCTTGTGAAGCAAAACTGCTTGCCAGTTACTTGTCCGGATGTGGGAGAGAAGCTTGTCGGCGCCGCCACCGAGTTCACGATTATTGACCGCCAGGGGCCGATGGCAGAATTTCGGCACCAGGTGAGGGTGCTGGACTTTGACATGGAGGAGGTGCATGACCTGCAGGCTTTTATCGAGTGGGCTGGTCTTACGGGGCGGTACCTTTCGAAGATGGTACGGGAGGTGCCTTGTCTTGGGGCTGGGCCAAAGGTTCCCATCGGCAACCCTTTGTTTGATATCAGAAAGAAGGCACATGAGATTTTGAGGTGAGATTTACCTTCTATATCAACCTTTTACCGAACATTCAGCATACTGACTCCATGTTGTAGGGTGGCCAAGTTCTTTCGCAGTCCACGGTATCAAGAGGGCAATGGGTGTAAGCTCTATGCGCAGCTGCGTGGGGCGCAGACCTGGGAGACAGACGACATTTCCGCACAGCTTGTCCTGGAAATGAACGGGGAAAGCTATGTTGTGCCGCTGGAAAAGAGCGATATGTACATCGCCGAAGAAGGCGAGGAAGGGGAGACCTCTCCACCATCCTGCTTGACGATCTATATCCCGCATGACGAGACTGATCAGGATGTGTGCATCCAGCACAAATTGCCTTACAAGTTGATGGAGTGGATTATGACGGATCCCGGAACGGGAAAGACGAAGCCGGTGGATGGGAGAGCGGTCAGGTTGGTTACGGCAGTTTTGAATGCCAAGTTTGCGTCGTTGCCGCGAATTCTGGAGCGTGAAGGAGTTCATGATGTTGATGTTCCTGCTTTGGTAGAAGACCTTGATGAAGGCGAGGATGAGAGTGTCCCAGAGGCTGAGGAGAATGTTGGTGTCCTCGAAGACGACGTTCAGGAAAGCCTTGGAGATGATGAGGAAGGCGATGTATACGAGGGAGATGACGTCTTTGATGGCGTCGAGGGGCTGTCTAATACTGGCCCGGAAGAGGCTGCCCACGTGTTTGAGGGAGACGACGTCTTTGATGATGTCGAATACTCTGATCATGACGAGATTGCTCAGGACGATTCTGCTGCACACGAAAACGGATTTGTCGATGAGGACGAGTACGCTGATGCGGATCAGATCTTGGATGAAGTTGAGCGTGAACTTGATGGTTTGAGCATTGAACCACGCACCCCCCCCAGATCGGTCGCGGTATTGTCATCCTCACCATCAACACCTGCGGGTCGTGGCATAATCTACACACCACTTGGAACGGAACCCGAAACACCTCTCAGAGTCACTGCCAACCCCCGAAACGCGCGCTGGTCTCCGAGCGGGAATTTTGCGACTCCTCAGACAGGATACTTTCAGCCATCCCCAAACTGGAGGTCAGGACCCCGGGAACTAAACTCTACTCCAAGCTCAAGCACGCAGCAGTATCGGGAACTCTTGAGCCACATGGTATCAGCTGGCCAGCAGTTGCGATTCCCAGACTTCGGCAATTTCGACATATCACCTTTGAGAGGCCAACTCCCCCCCACCAAAGATACTGCAAACCCTCTCTGGATGTTCTCGACTTGGCAACAGGGTGCCGCCGGTGAGCTCTTTGTAAGTTGACTACCTGATATCTAACTATATATCGAACTGCGCTGACATTTACTCTCTTATGCGGCTAGATTCTTGAACTTCTCAAGACACTGGACCCCAAACTGCCAGGTTTCTGCGCAGAGGTCAACTGGACGAGCAAGCTCCGAGGCCATGTCACTGTTCATCCAACCTATGCCAACCTAGTCACTTGGTCAGGGTTTAATGAGACATCTGACCTTGAATATTTCGACTACACTGGCGCTTTCACGACTCTCCTGACCGAAAAGGGGTACCTTCCTCGATCGTCCAACACCGGCGAGCAAGCCGGGAACCCGATGCAGCCGAAGAAGTACTACATTGAAGTGAAGTGCACATCTAAGGGCTGTGACGAGCCATTTTACATGAGCTCTGACCAATATATCAAGGTACGTTTTCTTTTTCCTCGGTGTCAACATTATCATTCGGAGGTTTGTGAGAGACAGAGATGTCACGCAAACAACTGACATTTTGTTTCCGAAATTAGATGCAGGCAATCTGCGAACAGAAAGGCGCTGTGTACATTATCTTTCGAGTGTTTAACCTCTACACTGACAGGATCGATGTCAGGCTGTTTGTGAACCCTGCTGCGCTTGAGAGGCAGGGGTTGTTGAGGTTCTCGCCGGAGAGGTATAGTGTTAGGGCGACGCCATAGAATAGGCGGCGACTGTCTCGAGCTGTCTCACAAGGAAACACTTGCCGGATCAGCAAGCGGAATTCGGTAGCCGTCCAACCTTCTGGCGATCTTTATTGCCAATTTACAGGAGCCTTCAGTGCTGCAGAGTGGTTTGAACTGGAGATAGTGTATATAATACACAGGCATGATCAAGCACAAACAAACACACCAAAAAGGAGCAAACAATCTGTGAAGAGAGTAGGTAGTATACCTACTGTAGAAGGTAGGTTGACAAAAAACTAACGGCGCAATTGCGCGATCCGGGATTCGAACCCGGGTCCCTCGCTTGTCCACATGAGATGGGAAGCGAGGATTCTAACCACTAAACTAACCGCGCCGTATTTGGAGATTTGAGATGTCTATTGGGAGCAAATCACCACCACATATCCGGCAGCACCTGATGGTCTGGTGGAGTGGCGACATTTAGGGGTTTAGGGGGTCGCTTTGCAATATAATACAACCACTCATTAGCTGGCTGGAAGATTTCTGAGTAAGATGGCTGGTTACACCTTTATGGTCTGGATAGTTTTATCTCACGACACCGCGTTACAATGCCGAGTCTCTGTTGTTGGGTCTATCGACGATAATCTTCGTCGATGATCACTCACGTTTCATCAGCCACATACCCCACTCGAGCTTGTATAAACAGAAGTACCTGGGGTGCACTAAGTCTTGGGACATGTTTTCAAAGGGATGAGCTCAAGATGGTTGAGATATCTGCTTCGATATGTTCCAACAAAAGAAAAGAGACGTCAAAGTCCCATGTCAAGAGAAAGATAAGCAAATACAAGTACAACTCTGAGTCTTATCCTTCATTTTTCTCCCTAACCCTGTAATTAAGTCCATCCATGACCCAACGACCACCGTTTTGAATTATCACCTTCACTCAACCAACCTCCACTGCCCGATATTCGCATAGCAGTGATGGGATATTAGACGCACCATCTCTCTGAAGTCCTCCTATACCCAACCGCGTAAAAACCGCGTTGGGGATCGCAGTGCCAAGCTCAAGCCTCCACCAAGGTCAGTGAAGCGATACAGGCACCGCGCAGGATTGTGTCCTCGATGGCATTACACTCAACCTGGCGTCGGACCGGGGCTGACCTTCTAGCCTTTTTTCCCAACAAAAGACACAAAAAGTCGGTTAATTCACAGTCGTCGTCCTGCTCCTGGCGCTTGATGTTGACACCCCCCACGGATGTGGTCACGACGGAGGAGTTGGGGTCGATGTTGAGATCTTCGCACTCCCCACTGAACACACAGCCCACGGGGTCAATGAGGCACAGAGCAATGCATGGATCGACGGCCTGGGTGGTCACCTGGCGTTCGGATTTCAAATGGCTGGCTGTTGCCGCTCTGGGGGAGGCAGGAGCAGCAATGGTTGTGCCAAAGAGGGCGATGGTGGATACAAAAGCGAACTGATAATGGTTAGGTAGCTGGTTCCTTGAGAGTGGTTGAAGGGGGTATTACCTTCATGTTGACGGTCTTCGTGTCAGTGTCTTTGGGTGTAACGGGTGGTTTTGATGTGTTATGTGCCAAACGGAGGTGTTGCTGGAGATGAACTCAAATGATGGGGAGAAAGCTGGTGAGTGGTGTGTCTGATTGGGCTGCTGCGAGGAGGGGAGAACAAGCTGCTTTTATCCCTCATCTTTGAGAATCAAGCCAGCGAGGTAGGTAGACACAGTGTTGCCGTAAGATCTTCAGTCTTCCAGCATCGTGACCACGGACTACGGACTACGGTGATTGCCAGAGTCAGTCCGGAGTAACTTTCTTTTGCAGAACTGCAAGTTTGTGCTGTGATGTCTCAGTCAGCTGAAGATGATCATCACAATCACAACCCGAACACTGGAGCTTGTTTCTACTTCGCCGAGAGGGTCTGACCGCGGACCCATCTGACGCGACGGAAATTGCAAGAGCTGAGAAGTTTTCGCGTCAGTTTCGGGATGAACTTATACTCTGCTCTGGCGCTTCGATCAACCATCACACAGCGTTCGCCATGATCGACAGGAAAAATGAAGGTGCGTTCCTGTGCTCCCCCGGCTACCCATGTCTGCAACAAGAAAGTGCTGACCAAAACTTTTAGCCTGGCATCCTTACCACCGCTTCCCTATCGACGACGGGCCTGGACATCAGCGGCGCCATCATCGCCTCCGACAGTCACTACCGCGACGGGAGGTAGTCTTGTCCAACCTCACTCGAATCAGAGAGACGTGTTTCTCTTTCGGCGTCCAAGAACAATATTGGTGGTATCTTTGGCAGGTTGGATATTAGTTTGCGGCGAAGAAAATGGAGGGAATTGGGAATCGCGTTTAGGAAGGTTGAGGGGATAGAGATGAGACTGGCGGGGGGACATCGTCTGAACGACAAGCGTGTATATACGTCTCTGCTTAAATGATAATTGGACAGGGAAAACTCTCGATTGGTACAGGAATGCATCATGCACCAAGCACAGTGTTTGAATGAGGTCTTGCGAATAGCTTCGCCGCTCACCAAAGAGGGGCTTGCCATTTCCGACCAATCGTGTGTGTGCATTTGGCGCGTAGGCAAGCATAAGAGGCAACCAACCATTCCTAGTCACACATAAAGAGACAACATTTGAGCTCTCTCTTCTTCTCTGCATACAGAAATCGTTCTCCAAACAAGACAATGCCCTCATCAAGCCCCGCAATCAACTTCCCCCCGCTCCAAACCCACACTTACCAACACCCACACACCCACACCCTGATCTTCCTCCACGGGCGCGGTGACAAAGTCCCTTCCTTTCTCACCGCCCTCTCGGCATGGGAGTCCTCCACCGCCCTGACGCTCCGAACTGCCTTCCCCACCTTCCGCCTGGTCTTCCCTCAAGCACCCCTCCGCCCCGTCGCAGCAGCCGCCGCAAAGGGCGAAAGACTTGAATGGAACCAGTGGTTTGACGTCTGGAACACCAACGACTTTTCCGACAATGAAGAGCTCCAAGCTGAGGGGCTGAGAGAATCGGTCAGTGGCATCAGGGCAATGATCGACGAAGAAGCCGAGATGCTTGGAGGTCGATACGACAGGATTTTGATAGCGGGGATCAGTATGGGGGGTGCGACGTTGATTCACACATTGTTCAACCTCGAGAAGCCGATCGGTGCCTTGTTGGGATTTTGCTGCCGATGCCCGTTTTCTGGGTCGAAGAAGACGCTGGAGCAGATGAGAGCTGTGCTGGGACTGCCTGGGACGCCACAGGGGAATGAAGTGCTGAGGAAGACGCCGATTTTGTTGGAGCATTGTATCGACGATCCGCTTGTTAGGATTGAGAGTGGGAGGAACTTGAGGGAGGTGCTGCTGAATTTTGGGGCAGAGAGATTGGAGTGGAAGGAGTATGGGACTGGAGGACACTGGTTCAAGGCGCCAGATGGGATGGATGATGTTATTTCGTTTGTGCAAAACGTCTTGGAGGTGGTAGACAGCGGAAGCGGCAAAGATGTTGATATGGACATTTAGTAGATTAGACAACTTGAGTTAGATTGGATACCTAGATAAATACGAAAAATTCACTGCCGGAGACTGCTTTCTCTTTAACCCATCATCTGTCTGACCCAATACTTCCACGACTCACCGGTGAAGAACTCGTGCCCGCAACTTCACTCGACTCGAGAATAGGAGAATCAGCTGTGGTCTCACTGCCCATCATCTCACTCCCTGAAAGAGTGGGCGAATCAGCCACCGTTTTGCCCTCTTCTGAGGATCCCTCATCAAACCCATCGCCATCTTTTACATCCATAATCTCCTGTGCAGATGCCCCCACTGGCAATTCATGCGGCCCCAAATCTTTCACACCTCTCCAGTCTTCCATCTCCTGCTGTGGCAACGTCGATATCCGGGCACTCATCTCTCCCTTTTCCCAAGTCGAAGTCTTGGATAGCGTGTCTCCCTCTTTGAAGGCGGATAGGGTTGCCTTCTTTTGCTCCCGCCGCTTGCGCAAGTGAAAATAGAGATATATAAGCCCTGCCACCAGAAGAATGGCCGAGAAAATTGGGATGACGATGATGGTAACTGTTGTTGTTAGAGAGAGAGAGGGTGGACCAGGTAGTGGAGTTGGTGTGGGGGGTGTGGTCGGTCCAGCTGAGGCGGGCGAGGAGACTGGGCCTGGTGAAGGCATTAGTATCTTTTTGGCCCGTGTGAAGTGGGATTGTGATCCTACTTCTCACCACGGAGCTGACTCGTATAACAAGTGTGTTTGTTTCTACTGCAAGCTTGGAGGTCACGGCGATCTCCGTAGTTGATGTCGAAGTGAATGAACTCGTCGCTACAGGTGGTTCTGTTACCAGGACTGTGGTGATGATCTGGGTAGTCGTCGAGCTTTTAATGCTTGTGGTGGTTGTTATGATGGATCTTGTCGAGTTTGAGGACGTCCTTGGCGCACTCTGAATGGGAATACTGTCGCAGTACTCAACGTATTCTCCAAATGCTGGCTGCAGATAAAACTTGTTGGCATTAGTCCAGTCATCACCTTCCTTGCCCTGGTGCAAAATGCATGTCCTGCAAGCAGCAAAGTCTTTGGTGAATACAGAGTCCGTTCTGCATAGTTCAGGCGTCTTTCGATACTTCTGAGTCTCTTCGTATGCTCTGTCTGTGCACTTGTCAGCGTCACTCACCAAGACTATATTTCAAGCATATGGGCAACAAACAACACTCTGATCGACAAAGCTCAGGGACAAAACTGGTATCGATGTGTTGGGAACTTTGATCCGGGTTCTGGGGAGCCATGGTGAACGTCTAGGACCAAGGTTGGGTGTTTGAATCCAACAGAGAGGAAAACTAAAACATTCCACTGATTCACCTACATCGCGGGGGCCATTTGCATTTTGTGTTCTTGACGCAACCCTTACTGTGCCGTACTGAGTTCTTGTATTTTACCCTTCACTACGATTTGATTGTTTGGAGTCTGCGGTCTGATTGCTCCAAGGCGCCTCAAGGTCACCGGCCCCCAAGTCGGCCCTCGTCCGACAACTGCCGCAGACAATCAAGAGTGAGCAGCCAATAGAGATCTAGGCCTTCCAAATGGTCTGCTAATTAATTAAGCAAACATACTAGCGGTCATCTGGGGTTTGTAACACATCTTAACCTAACGGTTCATCGGGGACACCAGATGGCGTTAAAGACAACCTGGAAGTTTCTCAGACTTGATGAAAAAGAAAAGATACCATGGGCTATCTATCCAGACCAAATCAATTGACATTTTGAAAGATATGTCACAGATGAGCGCTTTCATCAAGCCACTGATCTGTAAGAACCGAGGTCTAATCTCTGCAAGGTGATGGGGCCTACATGTACCAGGCCAGGCAAGACCTCAAAGCTTGGGTGGGCGTTCCACAGCCACCTCCACCCCAACTAACAGGTAGATCCGTCGATCCTCCCAATGCAGGAGAGAAGAAACCCCACTTTATGTTGCTTTTTTGGAAATAATGAACAAGTAATGCACAAAAGGCTACGTGTACAAGACCTTATGTGCTCGCTATCAAACAGCCGCCGCTGTCGCTTCATTTCTCTTCCTCGCCTCCGCCTGTCTAGCATCAGCTTCATCCCAGAACTTGTTGCGGTTGTCGATGTCTCGTTGACAATTATCAATTTCTTTTTGAACCACCTCCCGCCCTTCCTTACAAGTTGAAGGGATGGTTGCGAGGAAGCCCTGGAGCTTGACCTTCCTCGCTGTAAGATTCCCAACCTGCCACTCTCGGTTGAATGCGTAAGCAACGACTTTGATGTCGTTGTCATCCCTGGGCAGCTCCTCTCTCTCGGGACACAGTCTGTCCGCATCCCTTAGACAGGCCTGCACCGCTTGCCGTAATCGCTCCAGATGCCGTTCGTCGTCTTTAATAATTCTCTCCGTCTGTATTCTCTCCAATGATCCTCCAGCCTGTTTAAATGCATTCATTAGATGCCTGAGCTCCCACACAATCACATCTTCTGGCCTATCACCAGGGTTGCTCCCTTGAGGATATAACCTGGCTACCAGTTTCTCAGCCCCTTCCAAGAGCTTCTTCTTAAGCTCAATTGTGCTCTCTAACTTCCAGACCTCAAACCTCGTCATCCATTCCTTGTCAAGCGTGTCCGCTAAAGCAAGGGTCTGCTCACACTCCAGCATCTCTTGGTTCAAACGCTGCAACCCGTTCTTCTCCCGTTCCATCTTCTTCAAGGCCTCTGACGCATAACGCTTCGTACCTTCCACTGCGTTCATTCGGATACGATCAACGTGAAAGCCTTCCACGTCAAAGTCGGACCCCGGCCAGCCATGCTTGTGAAACAGCGCCTCAACCCCCTCCGGCCATGGACCCCCACCCTCACCGCACTCATGCCGCCACGGAGCGTCTTCCAGCAACTCATATTGTTTCTTGATGTCCCGCAAAACGTCTGCCGCGTCGCGTGCGGGCATGTTGTCGTAGACATTCCCTCCTTTTTCTCCACACCCCAACCTGGGGTGACTGTCTTCCTCGCAAGCCCGGCGTAAATCCTCCGCCCATGGCAAGCTGTTCGCTGCTTTATCAACCAAAGCGGGATCCCGGCTTTCCAGGAAACATTGTTCAAAGACCCCAACAACGTGCCGCTTTGCGTCGTATATGAGCACGACCTGGAGGCCGCAACACAAGGACAGGGGGGTCATCCATGGGCGCATCATCGCGCGCCTATCATTCGTGTGGAAGAAGGGGTCACGTGCCTCCTCGACGTGATGCTGGTTGCGGTAGTCAATCAGTATGCCTCCCTTGTAGAAGGCGGCTCGGTCGTGGTTGTCGATATAGGGAAGGAGGGTATAGAGGTAAATGATGCGAGGGTCAAGCTGGAGGTCCTGGTATAGCGGGAGCATGGCCGTCAGGTCGTGGGGACCGGGGCGGAGATCAGAGGCGGGAATGTATTGTATGTGGACAAGGGTTTTGTAAATGTCGAGTAAAAGGGTGACGACTTCTTGGGCTTTGGAGAGGTCTTGCTCGCTGAGCGAGGATTTGATGGACTCCATTGTCAACGGAGAAGATGAGGCCATGGTGTCGACCATATTGGAGATGTTGGGGAGAATTACTCTTCAAGTGTCAAAGGAAAGCAGGGCAAGGAATTGATTTAAAGACCACCCTGAAGTCCGAGGACTCCATATTTTAGGCAGCATGGTGGGGAAGATTGGTAGGTGGTAACAGGATGAACCCGAACACGAAGTCCTCTCCAATCAGGAACTCATGTAGGTAGGTACGGTTATGATATTCGTAGATTCTCAGAAATCTATCTCAATGAAACGCCTAGCAAGAGTTGCCCGTCCACAAAATAAGACTACCAATGGAACTGAGAAAATGTCCATCGCCAGAAGACGTAGCAGCCAAGAATCTTCCACCCATGACAAATTACCTAGGTAAAATCACAACCCAGAAACAAGTCCTGTCACACCACCCGTTTCGCCCATTACTTTCAACATCCGTCTTTTTCATCCCCCTTTACCACCCTAAGCCCCCATCATCATAGCCTCAGCCCCAGCCTCAACACCTTCCTCGTTCCCAACCACAGGTTCGGCAGCCTCAACCTCAACATCCTCAACAGCAGCCTCAACCTCATCAACAATCTCCCCCATCACAGCCTCCGGCTTCATAGGTTCAACAACCCCCTTCCCCTCCTCCTCAACAACCCCAGCCTGCCCCACCATCCCCATCCCAGCGTTCATCATTGCGTTGAACCGCTGGACGTAGGCGCCCAAATTGAGAACCAAAACTTCACCGAGCGCCACGCCGAGGACAGCGTCTAGGAGCTTGATGGCCATGAGGCTGGACATTATGTTTGTGTTGGTGGCCATGGTGAGGTCGGTGGTGGCGTCAACGGGTTCGGCATCGACTGCGGCTTCGGTGGTGGGAGCAGTAAGGGCAGTTCCATTGGTGATGGGGAGGGTGGTGTCGTTGACTTGGCGGGGCCAGTGGAGGACGGGGGTGGCGATGGAGAGAGTGGTGAGGGTTGAGACGAGGGTGAGGGTGGTGAGCTTGGGGAGTGTTAGTGATGATTAGGGATTGGGAGAGAGGGGATACTGACCTTCATTTTGGCGAATTTTTGGGTGGTTAGACTAATGATCGTCTGGGTTAATGAGTGTGCTGACTCAACGAGTATAGAGTTTGAGGGATGAGATCTGATTTTCTGCCTGCCTGCTTCAGAAGAGGGTTATGCGGACATGAAAAGGGAGAGCGTGATATTTAACTGTTTCTTGTCCAGTCAATATTCAGGATTGTCCGCCGTCTTTCGGGTCACATATCTGAAGATCTTAGCCTGCAAGCATTCGCCAACGGGGCGGTAACATTCCTCCGAGGCCACCTTACTGATTCCTACCATGAGCTGACCAGGAAGATTAGTGGTATTTCACCGCAACTCGGAATTGATCGATTCCGAGCCAGATTCTTGGGATAAAACATCACAACAATGGAAAGGTCAACCTCCTGAGTCTCCCGATTGTGAAGTTGACTCAGATCATTCAAAATAAAACAGTACATGTCTATCATTCCAACTGCTTGGGAATTTGTCGTTGAAAATTTTCCTGTCGGTGAAGACATCAATGGTGAGAAAGCTGCGTGCCTGAGCATTAGTCGCCCGAGTTGAGGAATTCAGTGACATCATCCCAAGTTAAAAGAGGCACCAAAACCCTTGAGCGACGCTGCACCAAGGGAGGAGTCTTAGACATTACCACCGCAATGGAATTTGGTTGTTGTTGACGATGAAGAAAAGAATTGTGAACCTCATCATCAGGATGTGTGACTGATCAAAGGAAAGTGCAGATCGCCTCTGCAAAGACACAGCCCCTGAGCCCCTGAATCGAACCCCTGACCAAATGACTAAAGATGCTCTGAGTCTCTTACCCTCGTACAGTCTTGCACCATGAACCTTCGTCACCACCTCGGCCTTGTGCCAATGTCATGACCGCTGCTTGATCAGCATATTCCTCTTGGAGTACTGCAATCCACACCTATTACACAACGTCCTCGCCCCTTCTGATCCCTTCCTCCACTCAGTACTCTCAGTACAGTCACAGTTATAGCATTTACCCGCCGCATTTCGTGTTGGTATTGTTTTCTGTTCTTATTGTCAGCCATTATCAAGTTATATCTCTCTACCTCACTAACCTTCCCATGAGCATTAATCCCAATTTCTCTTATCCTCCGCCTACCCCTCCCAGGTTTCTGTACTGTCTCCTCTGAGTTGTGATGGGACAAACGGCTCTTGGAGTGTGAGCCAGATGTCCTCTCCTCCACCCACTTTCTCGCCAACTTGATGTCGTCCATCCTCTTCTTGATCACGTCGCTGTTGTTTACCATGAAGTTGACCACTCTCTTAGATGGGAGCTTGACGAGCAGAGTTGAGTCATCATTGCCAGGGCGGCAGTCGGCTGTACAGCGTCTTGCAAAGTCGTAGAGGGCAAAAGCTGAGTTGGCGATCTGTGATGGTTAGTGAGTCTAGATGCATGGGCTGTTTACCCTAGGTACACAGAACATACTGCTTCAAGTGCTTCGGTGTAGTTCAGCTTGGCAGGAATCTCCACCATTCCCTCGGTGCTCTCGTGGTCACTGCCGGTGTTGACATGGATGGTGCTGTAATCGGCAGTGGGTGCTATGGAGGCAGACGATGGTTTCCGCGGTGAGTCGGCATGCTGGAATGGGTCGCGGCTGGCGCTGAGTGGGTCCAATCTCAAGGGTGACCAGGGCCCGGCGGTGAAAGTGGAAGAGTAATATGGACTCGCGTAACGAGGAGATTCGTGAGCTTCGGGGGAGTGTGGTGACCGGAACGGGATCCGGCCGCCGAGGAGTGGAAGGGTGGTGTGTGGGAGGGGCCCCGTCGCCAGCGGAGTGCGCTATGCTCTCAGTGAGCTCAGAGAAGGAGGGAAGCCATGATGCCTGGTGGTGGTGAAAAGTGGAGGAGGAGTCTGACATATTTCTGTCTGCGGTTTTCTCAACCCATGCTATGTAAATAACCCTGAAAGGTACAGTGTAGTAGTCTCGTGTGTCACAAACACGACAAAGCCCGGATTACACCCGACACCGTGATGCCCTTAATATATCACTCGCCAACTTATCCTTAGGGGGTTAGATGCCCAAACCTCGGATCAAAGTGAACTCTTTCCGCGTCCGTCCCAGCCAAAAAAGCATCTGCAAGATGACTGGGTCGAGGCTGCTGTAGAACGCCTGGAAGCAACTGTCAGGGGGAAGTTTGATTCCGGAAGGCCCAACACCACCTTGGCTAGCTGCCTCTCTCGGCAAAAAGATTGTGTGCCGGGTGAGCCATTCAGGTGATCTCTTTTTGTCCAATATTACCGTCGATCCATAACGTACGGATCAAAACGGAATAAAAAGTCTTTCATGAAAGCGGTCAACATCCGACACTATTTGCGGCGGCAATGCATTATTAGCGCCCAGTACAGTGTATATAATGTTGGGAATCTACCTGATGCTCCAGTAATACTGGCTATCTTATTCAAATGGTCAACTGACTTCAGGCGCGGCCAGTCAAAGTAGTTAGGTAGTATTTTCGGGAGGAACAAACAAGCCCTCGGGACGGCGGCAGCTTCTCCAACCAAGGTCACGATCCGAGGATTCGATGCAGCAGATTGTCCCGTTTTTCGGCACATGCGGGACCGACTCGGGTTGAAGACTGACGACCGCGGGCCGTGCCCAAAGACGAACAGGTCTTCCGCTGCTCGACTGCCACCTATCAGGACGGTTCGAGCAACCGGATCCCAGAAACTGTGAAATATGCCGAATCCGTGCCGGATCGTCACACCGGGCCTGATTGTGCAAAGACCGTGACGGAATATGGACTTGAACACCACTGCGATGTAGCAGCTGCACCCCAGGTTACACACCGATCCGGACGACAACAACCGGGGCAGAAACTTTGAGTATGTCAGTTTTGGCAATAGTCTCCGAGAAGAGCTACTGAATTACATGATCTTTGTATTTGTCTCTGCCTTTGAACATCCCAAGTCCTTATAGGTTCACCAAAAGCATTCTATCCCTTGAAAACATACCCAAAACAGGATAAATCGGCCTGGTAGCCTTCTCCCGTGCCCAGCATGATAGACGAATATTTTCCGTTCCGATCCCCCTTTTTCCCCTACCAAGCCCGACGCTCTTGTTGCCTTGATGTCAGAATAGCATATCCAAGTTGCAAGCGCCCAACACCAGCCCCAGATGCCCACTCAAACGCCAATTAAAGAGAGGAAAGGTTGCAGTTTTGTTTTCGTTTGATCGTGCTTTCCCAATCGCAGGACGGCGCCTCTTTCAGCTTGCAGTCCCCGCACAAGGCATCCACACTATCGTTGGGAGTTGGTTAGAGAACGTGGTGGCTTGCAACAGCTTAGGTTGGAATGGATGGCTCGGGTACCTCTCAAAGTATAAGATATTTGGATTCATCGGATGTGGGTGGCTGTGTAATCGCGGGACCATTTCGAAGCGATAAAGCGGAAGTGGCCACAAAAGTGCCTTCGCTGAATAAAGTCACACATGGTCTGATTTGCGTTGGAACGTGTTGGTGAGCGAGCGACTTGAGTTTGAACCGAGAAAGCATAGAGTCACAGCACCCTTCGGGATGGACTCGATGTTTGTTCTTGTACGCGATGGACAGTGGGCTTCACCCCCCAGCACGACCAAAATCAGTGTAGCAGTGTTTCACCGACGCCATACTCTCTTGGGATTGCACCAAGGTGATCATTCCCAGTTCCAACGCTTCTTTGTAGTTGACCATTCTCATTCTGGTGAGTTGCATGGATGACATGGAAAGTTACCCCCATGAAAATACCCGAAATAGAAAGAGAAGTCCCACCGAAAGAGGCAACATTGTCCGAAGATGGGTCTTATCCCGTCACTCCCGTGAAGGTGGCCTCGGAAAAACGGGCTAGCGTGCTATCGAACACGGATCTAACTGCCTTTACGGTGGTATTCGTTTGCCGCTGTCCCAGAACCTCTTTCACCTCACAAAAAGTGGCTTTAGCATTGTCAATCCAGCTACAAACCTCGCATTGCAACCGCAAAAGTATATAAATATGAAATTATAGGTAAAATATAGTTGAAATTAGGACCTTTATAGATATGATAACTGTAAATCAAATAGAAGAAGAAGTAGAGCGATATGTATAATAGTATTACAATCTATATATACATAACGTTAAGCAGAATTTTAACTCACTCCATATATAAATAAGCGTATTTATAATCGCTCTAACTTTATATATACGTATTTACTATTATAACCCTAATCTGTCACAGACTAGCCAGATAGCAAAACCGAGTGGAAACGGCCTGCTGCAGTTCCCACTCGGTTTTGCTATCTGGTTGGTCTGTGACACTTTATAGTATTAATATAGTAGAGCCTTTTCTATATATAGCTAGTCGGGCATACTTTGCTAGGCTTTTATTAGAGCTAGACTAGTTTTGAGACAAAGGCAAACAAATACCACTGTACGCCCTAGGTACAACCCTCCAGGATGATAAACGGTAGTCTGGTACCTGCCAGAGCCACCCAACAAAAGAGGCACCGGGATAAGTACTCCCAATAAAATCAGGCTTGAAGGCTGGGAAATTGGTCAGTATTCTGCGAGGGTAGCCGAGGCTAGGCCAAGGCTAGGTGTCGTCACTTAACAGAAGATATTAGCCTAAGCGTCGAAGATGGCGGAAATGCAAGGCTAGGTACACTCTTATGGAAATTGATAGAAAAGTGACCTGGTATGACACTTTCGTAAGTGGCTCTTTATCCCTTGTTATCGCCCTGGTTGAAGCTCTGAAAAGTCACGAAAAATAACATTTGTGACCTGGGAACATTGTACAAACATAGGTCTGCATTGAAAAAGGCCATTTTCTGGGCAAAACCAATCCCCATTTCGTGCCAAGTCATGCAGCAGTATCTCAACCCAGCCCATCATCACCACGTTCAAACAACCTGCGATACCACTATTCCCAGACCCAAAAGCTCAATTGCCCAAGGCTCAATTACCCACCTGCAATTCAAAGGCTCAACTGGCCCCTTGGTCAATTGTTGACTTACATGCTGAAGACGGCGAGATCCATGTTCGATAGCACGCTAGCCCGTTTTCCCGAGCCACCCTCACTCCCGTCATGTCTTGGGTGGCGCACAGTTGACAAGCTTTGAGATGACAACAGGGCTGGGTGATGCCCAATTCCTTGTCAGTGAGCAAATGTGACACCCTCTCCCACACCATGGCCAAGTGATAGCTGCAACAAAGTCTCCAAGAGGCCAGTTTAGTCTGGGTGAAGCTAGCCGTTAGGTGGGCGGTGGAGATGGCATTAGCCCGATACCTAGCAGGAGAGCATCAGCGGCGGTAATCGGATATGGTATATGGTCATGGGAAATGCATCTTGACCGCCGTCTCCACGCCCCAGCTCTAAATGATCGATCACATCTCACATTGATGTCTCTTGGACCGGGGGCTTGGCCCCTCCTCGGTTTCCCAGATTGGACTAATCCAGGACGAGCGGCAGATTGTCTATCATATTGTTTGTGGATTGTCGTTCGTAAGTGTGACCTCATATGCAAGCCGAAGAAATTTGTCGTTGTTGGTGCTCTTCAGTCACAAAGTTGATGTTGCTGATGGATCTTGATCGATTTACACATGCTCGCCTTACCATCGGGAAATTGTCAACTGCAAAGTGGGGGTTGCTGATCGCAGTGGGAGGTGATCGACATGTGGAAAGTCAGGAACCAACAACCCTAACCCCTCTCATGGCGCAGTTGGCGGAGGCGGACGAGATGGCGTTAAGCACAACAGAAAGCTTTGACCAAACAATCCTCAAGGCTTGATACAGACTCGCCGATATTGGTATTCCACAAGTCACCTTCCTGATGCCGTGGTGAGATGTCAACACCTTCCAGAGCTGGCCTTTTGAGGTTGCTTCCCAGTTGTCGAACGCATGGACCAGGCGCCGAGTGACGATAGCGCGCACCACCTTCCCCATTTGGATCATGGCAGGTAACTTTATTTGAACAAGAAAGACGCGATCTTGCTCGTCGCCTACCCTCTAGGTTCTCTTGGACCCATCCTTTGATGTCTGTGGCTTGTCTGTAATGACGGGTTTCTTTTTGTTGGCATTATCTTGGGTCCCCGCTACTAACGTCGTGTCTCTGGATCGCGTCCCATCGTCAGCTTGCTCACCTTATTACCGACAGATGCCCACTGCCCGGCCACAGTTGCTCCGAACCAACACTTTACTGAACCAGCCTCGAACCCTGATTTATCCGAAGTTTGTGCTGAACCGGATGCTGTGTTGATGATGCCTCCAGCCAATGGTAGATCAGCAGACCAAGACACGCTTCCACATCCTCCTGCTCAATCGCTCGATCGCTGACCAACGACATTTTTCGCTGACGAACTTCGGTTGATACGGCCATCGCTATAGAGCCGAACTTTTGTTGAAGCTGGCAAGTCGCCCCGGTACAGCTCGCAAGCTCTGGCAGATGCTGTGCCCAGCCAGCGAGGCAATCACCACCCCTCGCGACGTGGCGGCCCTTCGACTGTCATCATCGCGCCATGTATCTCGGGACATATTGACCCAGTATCGACGGGGAATGCGTTGTGCCTCGTTGAGCAGTTTGAACGGAGTCTTCGGCCGGTCGCCTGAGCGAGTCGAGTCTTTCTGCGGCACCCGATACGACGACCTGTGATGGGACAAGAGTCAGCAATATACCGGATAATGGCCTCCTCGTCTCTGCCTCCCACGTTCCTTAACTGGTACCTATCCTCAGAAGCCATGGTTATTGTACAGCATTTCGCTTTTGGTCGAGGCTATTTTTAGTTTGTTGGTCCCGATCGGAGACATTTGCCACACCGGCAGAATGCGACGACCACCGTGAGAACAGCAAATCCGGGTCCGACAGGATACCCAGCACCAGCACCAGCACCAACAAGCAGCATGCATTACCATGGTATTAGACGACTCAATCAGATGGGAAAGCGACTTACAGATGATCAAGCCGACTTGCTCAACACTCTAGCTCAAGCTGTTGGCTGTGGAACCACCCATTTTGCTCGTGGCCCCCGAAGTGGTATTGCCTACCACCCGGGGGGAAGAGTCTTATTTTCGGATACGGCTTGGAAAAATGCACCGGCTGGACCCGACACTCTGTCACTTGCCACACACTGCAACAATGGGTAGCTTTTTGCAAAGAGATTCACAGCAATCACGATGGGGCATCCGGAATTGTTTCGGAAAGGCTTGATTGACTCATGCTAGACAAGAGAGGAAAAGAGAAAGACCACACAAGAAAAGCCAACAGAAGAGAAAACAAGAAATTCCGGATCTGAGCCAAGCTCCTCGGTCAGGGTATCCGTGGCAGGCACTCAACCATGCCGGCCCCACGTCCTGCCGCCTTCCAAGGTCCCAGAGCCCGCATCCCTTTTGGTTTCCACACCCGCCATTTCCGCAAAGTCCTTTTCCGTGTTCGGAGGAAGAAAAAAGAAGACCAAGCCAGCCTAAACCCCTGGGCCCAATGCTGTGGTAGATGGAAAAGCCATCTATTTGCAGGTGCGCCAGGCGATGTTGACCTGCTGGGTGAAGGCAACAGTGGCGTCGTCGTTGGTGATCTCGCCGATGGCAGTGCGGTTGCTGCTGGTGAGGGCGATGCGGTTGTTGACGTTGAGGATGCCGTTGGCGCCGCAGGGCGAGTAGATGTAACTGGCGGTGGGGATGCGGTCGGCCTTGGTGTAGACCTGGCCAGACTCCCAGATGCCGCCGCCTGTGATGGAGGTCTGGGTGGTGGTGGTGGCGCTGGCGTCCTGGCTGAAGTAGTAGGTGCTGTAAAAGGTGCCGGTGACGCCCTTCTCGAGCTGAGCGTAGCCGTGGTAGGTGGACTCGACCACGGCGAACTGGAAGCCGCTGGGGTACTGTGTAGGGAGTGCGTGTTAGCCTTGACCTTTGTCTCATTGACATTCACAGGAATGGGGGCATGCACAGGCTCTACCTTTAGGGAGAGATGGAGCTGGCAGTTCTTGGTCTTAGCAGTGGGGTCATAGCCGGGGCCGATGTAGGTCTGGAAGCGGTCGAAGCCGAAGGTGACAACCTGTTGATGGGTTAGCATCTGCTGTCCTGCTTTTCTGTCTTGCCGCCCTGCTTCTAGCTTACAGTCTTATCGGGAGAGATGGAGGTGGAAACGGAGCCCTGGGGGCAGCCGTTACCAGAGAAGCTGGCCTTGTCGATCTGGATCTGCTTCGGGTCGGGGGCGTTGGCCCAGCCGTCGTTTCCGACGACCTGAGCAACGGGGCTGGCGGCAGCGAGAGCGGGGAGGAGGAAAGCGACGGCCTTCATTTTGATGATTGGGTTGCTGAAAAAGCTGGTTGGAAACCGAAGATGATGATGGTGCGGGCGGTGATCGGAAGATCTGAAGGCTGGAGGATGCTGAAGGCTTGAAGGCTGATGAGTTGATGAGGAAAAGAGGTCGATATCGTCGAGGAAGGGCTCGATACTTATACTCGTCTCTCGGGCTCGAACGTCCCTCTTTCTCGTGATGACTTCACATTATCCGAGGAACAAACTCCATATTCCCGGCCGCGGACGGGAAAGACGTTTCTCGTTCGAGCGAGACCCGCTTGACATCGTCGGTTTGGTGTTGTTAATTTGGTCCCCAGATTGTGCAGCCGTCTCCCAGACCCCAGCTTCTTCGCGGTTCTCCGAGTCCTTCTCCCTGTTTGGAACTTGGAGTAGTTTGCATCCGGATGTAAACATTGTCTGTCGATGGCGTTCGAGGCCAGTGTGGGTCTTCGTTTCCGAGGTTCTCGCACGCCTCTAGCACCACAGTCGCAGCAGCCAAATTTACGGATGAAGTGAGGATAAATGAACTACAAATTAAGACGGGACGTCGAGCTCTTATGGCTCGCTTCACCAAGGTACATGACCCTTACCAGAGCCGCACGAAGACCCAGTCCGATGCGTTCGCGTTACTCGATTTGCTGACGCTTCTATCTACTCTAGATGTCATTGTGGATATTCCAGTAACCATAATTCTTTTTATAGAAGTCACTCTCCAGATTTCGACAAACTCGACACTGCGAACGTCCAATTCAGGCCGTCGCTGGCAATATCGGCTTAACATGCGGTGAGGACCGTGTCACATTGCGACATGCACTCGAGAAACTGGCCACTGACAACCGGGAATCATGGCTGTCTTGATGTTGTAGACATGTTGTTCTCCAAGTCACCCCTAGTCTACGAAGCTCAGATCCACGATGATGCAACAAGCAAATTCTGTTGCACTCCCCGATCAGCAAGACAATCTGAAGACAAAACAATGGACAAATCCCGAGAACCGCGACCCGGGATACTGGCAAGGGCCACACCTGTTGAGATCTCCCACTCCGCTGGCAGCGCTGATCTTGTAACACGACGAGGCGCACCACTGGAAACTTGCACCAGAAGCCAGTGCTACCCAACAGACATGACACTTGTCGCCATTGCTATTTTTGTGGCATGTTCAGGGGTCATTAATTAAGCTTAATTGAGGGACCCACCCTTTGTTCCCGGACGGGGCCATCGCGGACCTGGGTCGTGGCGTGGTGGTTGCATCTCGCTGCTATCGGGGATAGCGACTCGAGAGACGTTGACGTTGCGTCGGTGGTCAGCTGACCGCCACATTGCCCGCCAGACGGAGTCCTCTGGCCATGCACCGCGAAGCTCCATCATGGCTGCCAACACACACACACGCCGTCGGTGAAGCACAGCCCGGAGGCATTTCACCATCGATCAAAAGGACAGACCAAATACGGTTGTTCAATCCAGCCACTACTATAGGGTATTTGCTCGACCCGCCAATGCCGTTCAACCGTGCCATGGACCAACACTAGCGTTGCCGGAGTGCCCCTAGGGTACCAAACTACCCCCTTGTTCCGCCACACAGGATGAGGAACCAGATGCTCCGAATTTTTACGATTGGCCCAGCAAGGCGAAGACTTCTTGCTTTAGCTACACGCCTGCACTAACATCGCTGTTATTCTCATGATCCCGTTCCCCACATCGTCCCATCTCGAATCAAGAAGTTCCTCACTTGTCAAATATCAGTTCCCGGCTATTTCTTCGCTTGTGGTCCAGGAAGAGCAACCCGAGCGGGTGGCAAAAGGGCATTTGTCGAGCTTTCACAGTAAACGGGTTGAGAAAATAGAACCGTGCAGTTTGGTCCGGTCAAGGAGCTCTGTCTGCGATGGCTTTGGGTCGGTCCATCCTCAACTTACCCTCCGGGCAATTTCCTCCCGAGAGGGATGATACAGAGTCAATGTGAAGGGTTGACTGACAGTAACAGACCATGGGGCCGCATAACTCTGTGCTACCTATCTACAATCTACCTTGAATGCGATGGTCCAGAAAAAGCGACCCACATTCCCGCAGTTCGGCGGCTTGCCAGGAACCCGGGATGCCCCCCAGCCTTCCCATGCAGTGCAAGGCTGGACAGGCTGAAAGGATACCAACCGATTGACGCAACCCCTGGGCTGTTCCACGGTTAATGGCCACATGTAGACCACCCTTTGCACGAGTCGGTTTCATTCGGCCCTGCGAGGTTACCGTGCACCAGCAGTTTTTTGAACACTCTATTTGGGCAAAACCCAACCTGATCATGGCCGCCAACCATGCAAGACACACGAGCTTGTCTTTTATGAATGTGCTCAAAGGACCCCAGTATAAAATCGTATCCACATTGCTGACTGTCACTTTGCAATAGCGTGTAGATTGGGCTTTTATATCAAGGTCACTTTGCTGCTCCCCATCTCCCTGTTGTACTGTCAAGCGAGTACAGGAATAGTAATAGTGTATATGAGGGTTCGTGCCAGGTACCACGAGGGAACCTGGATTCTGCTCGTAACTGGGGATATCTATGGTGCAGGACATGCTGCAGGTAATATCGAGGTTCTCATCAGTCTGACCCCCGATGTGCAGGTACTGGACTCTGGACGACGTCTCATTAACACCCCCGATGCAATTGACCAGCTCCCTTTCTGGCCGAAAGAAGAAACGGAAGATGACTGGCTACGACTGCTGCCTTGATCAAGCAATACAGATATTGATCTCTGTCTGGATTCCAGATGTCGACCCCAACTTTCCTGTGCCAGATGCCGCTATCTTTAGCTCAGGGTAGCATCGAGATGTAGCTTTGTGTATAGTAAACAATAGACATATGAGAAGAATTTTTGATGCCAGCAACCACCGAGTGAACCGTCGAGGTATCAGCCTGAGTTGCGAGAGGAGGCGCAGTTCAAAATATGGTCTGATGAAGGGTCCTCGTTGTTGTGTTGACAGGTTGTTTTGGTGGCTGGGCCGGAGCGGAGGAGATAGGCATCACGGCCGCCGAGGTCCAGCACTACCGCGCCAACTACCACGGGCCGCATCTCACACAAAGTACCAATACGGCGGTGGTCCCGGGATAGTAAGAGAGAAGGAGGGGAATGTCACCCTGTGGGGGGGATGATCGACCACGCCTTTCTCCGTCCCGTCCGGCTTGCCTGCCATTGGAGGTGAACGTGGAAGAGGTGAGTGACACAGGTGGGGTGTCCGTGTAAATGTTTATCCAAGGGAGAAAGGAAATCGAGGGCGTCTGTTCTGGTGATGGGCCGCCTCCCGGACCTTGGTGGTTGACGCCGGGATGGTGTTGAGCCCTGTCTACCTATCTTCTACAGTCATCATCACTCACCAATAGTCGAGGCCTACAATGCTTTCTCAACGAGAAACAGCAAACCTCAAATGGTTCGCCCCATCCAAGCCGATCGAATCTTCCGGGCGCTCACCAAGTAGAAGGCGGCCAACATCATGACTCGGAATGAAGACGTCACACCAGACCACATCACAACACTGAAACCAACAACATGAAATAGTCTATTCTCCAAGCAAATTCTACACTCCTTCTCATAACACACAAACACAAAAAGTGTACACTAATCCCAACAACACCATGCCTGCTCAAACGCTTTACTTCCCTCCCCATCACAAGCCAAACGCTACAAGCATGCTACAAGCACTAATATCTTTTCACAAAAATTACAGATCCCGTTCTCCTCTGCATCATCACATCATATCCTCATACCTGTTCTCCATCTACTGCCCCTCAACTTGCTTCAACAACCCCTCCAAATTGATGCTCTTAGGCCTCTCAATGGGCAGACCCAACGCCCGATCCCAGATCAGCTGCGCCAACGGGCCCAATCCTCTGCTGACGCCAAAAGTGGCGGTATAGTACAGCGTCTCGTGGAAGCCGTAGTGGTGGAACAGCACACCAGAGCTAGAGTCCACATTGGGGTAGGGGTTCTTGGTCTTTCCATGCTTCTTCAGCACCTCAGGCGCAATGCGGCTGTTCTTCTCCACAAGCTGGAAGACTGGGTCGGCGGCGATCTCGGGGCGGGCAGCAGCGTAGTCCATCAGGGCCTCGAAGCGTGGGTCCGGCTTACGGAGCACGGCGTGGCCGTAACCAGGCACGACACGGCCGCTGTTGAGGGTGGACCAGAGGTAGTCGTGGATGTCGTCTTCGGTGTAGTTAGCGGGGATGGCCTCCTTCATCTGGATGATCCAGCGGAGGACTTCCTGGGCGGCGAGGCCGTGGAGGGGGCCGGCGAGACCCTGGAGACCGGCGCTGTAGCTAAGAAAGGGGTCGCTCAGTGCGCTACCAACCAGGTGGGTGGTATGGGCCGAAACGTTACCGCCTTCGTGGTCACCGTGGAGGGCGAGGTAGAGACGGAGGAGGTCTTGGAAGTTCTCGTTCTCCTTGCCGCCCTTGCCGAGCATGGCGGCGAAGTTGTAGGACCAATCTTGCTCGAGGTCGATCTCGGCGGGAAGAGCACCGCCACCCTTGTAGGAGTTTTGGTAGATCTTGGCCGCGATAGTGGGCAATTTGGCGAGAAGAGAGATGCAGTCGTCAAAGGTAGGCTCCCAGTAATCGGCCTTGTTGAGGCCCTCCTCGTACGCCTTGGCAAACTTGGATGTGTAGTTCAAGGCGGAAACAGCAATGGCAAATTGGGTCATTGGGTGGAGGTCCTTGGGGAAGTTGTCAAGCAGCTTGGTGACAAAGTCTGGGAGCTGGCCTTGCTCGGCGAGCTCACGCGAGAACTGGCGGGTCTGGTTGACAGAGGGCACTTTGCCAGTAAGCAAAAGCCAGAACATGGCCTCGGGAAGCATCTCGGTGCCGGTCTTGCCCTTGGGCAGCTCCTTTTGGCAGTCCTTGATGGTGCGGCCGTGGAAGCGAATACCCTCGTTGGCATCGAGCACGGAACCCTCCCATACCATGGCCTTGAGGCCGCGCATACCACCAATTGTGTTCTCAACCTTGACCTCGCCAATGACCTTGGAGCCGTGGGCCTTGACCTTCTTGAACAGCTCGCGCTTGGCAGGGATCACCTCCTTGAGCGTTGTCTTGAGGTCGGGTTCGGCGGTAGAGTATGTTCGTCGTGTAATTGGGGCATATCTAACTGGCGTGGCAGCAAGAGGCTGCAGAAATGTCAGCAAACATGAAGTCTGGAGAGATGAGACGAACAGCTGCGTGCTGCGTGCTGTGCAGTTCATGGGGGAGCAGCATTTGACTTACACGCAGAGCGCCCAATGCGCGGGGAGCCTTTCGGAAGTTCAAAGCCATGTCTGATGGTATCCAAAGTCGAGTGTAGATGATCTGAAAATGTTTCTTAATTCCGAGTTCCTCAGAGCCTCATATGAGAGAAGCTGACCTCCTCTGGTCCTTTATCCCATGCCAGCCGAGGGATGTGGAGAGGTTTGCCCTTGCAGGGAAGTGGCCGGGGCGCGCTCGACCGTGAATGCGGGGTACTTGGTGTATCCTTGCCGCTTTCTTTTGGAGCACCCTTGAAGGCTGGAGCTTCCCCGGATTTCTTGGTGATGTAATGGGGGCCGTGGGGGTGGTGTGCAGTAGAGATATCACAGATGCTATGGCAGCGCAAAAAAAACGTCTCAAGTTCCAAACTTCTACAAGACAGCCTCAAAATCATTTTCCAGTGGTTTGGACACGATCAACGTCCGCCGCTTCTTTTACATGTGCACCAGCTTCCTATTCTGGCGCCAACGCTAAAACCCCGCCATGTCACTTTCACAGCGCTTCAACCGAGGGAAGCCGCTCTCTCTGCCCCGCACTCTGGGCGTTGCAGCCCCGGACAAACGGTGCAGGGTAATGCCGGTTGAGCGATTGACCAATCAGAAGCTCGCTAAATCCCTCGGCAACGCTCCACACCACTGAAATGTCGCCGTCGACCAGAACCTCCATCACGCCGAACCGTGACCCGGACAACTTGAAGCTCCTGCTCTTTAACCATAGCCATACCCGGTAGCACCTGCACGCCATCGCTCCCGAATTCCACAAAGAAATAACGCCGGCCGATCCGTTTCCACCTTTACTCAGCAGTTGGCCCGTAGCTGGTCAGCTAGCTCGACCGTACTCGACCCCGACATCGGCAGCATCGCAGAGCAGACTGTGTGTCCAAGCCATATCTTTTTAACACGGCATCTTCCTTTTGTATGTCTTAGCTGGCCTGGCTTTGGATACCCGGAGAAACTCAACACACCTACCTTTGTTTCTTGGCTTACCACACCTCCGATGCTGCGCACCATTCTCCCCAGCGTCCCCCGGCGGACCCTGACTGCACGGCTAACCTCCGCCTTGTCTTCCGGATCAGCTAGGGCGCACGCCGTTCGCTCCCTATCTACAACTGCGGTCACCAGAATGTCTTCTCTCCCACCAGCAAACCCACCACTGACCACGACGTCAGCTTTTGAGGCCTACCAGCTCTTGCCCGAGGCGCAAAAGGCCGGAGCGGCCGAAGATGCCTTGTTCGAAGCTCAAGTCAAGGAGGTTGAAGCCTGGTGGGCTTCTTCCCGTTTTGAGGGCATCAAGCGCGACTGGACAGCCGCCGATGTCGTGAGCAAGCGCGGCTCCCTCCAGCAAAACTACCCCAGCTCCGTCATGGCGCGCAAGCTATGGAACCTCGTCCGTGAGCGCGAAGCTGCTGGCAAACCCATCCACACACTGGGCGCCATCGACCCTATCCAGATGACACAACAAGCGCCGCATCAGGAGGTCCTCTACATCTCTGGCTGGGCCTGCTCCTCGCTCTTGACGACCACCAACGAGGTTTCCCCTGACTTTGGCGACTACCCTTACAACACGGTTCCCAACCAGGTCCAGCGCCTGTTCAAGGCGCAAAGCATGCACGACCGCAAGCACTGGTTCCTGCGCTCCAAGATGAGCCCCGAGGAGCGCGCAAAGACCCCTTACACCGACTACCTCCGCCCCATCATTGCCGATGGCGATACCGGTCACGGTGGTTTGACCGCCGTCATGAAGCTGGCCAAGCTATTTGCTGAGAACGGCGCGGCGGCGGTGCACTTTGAGGACCAGATGCACGGCGGTAAGAAGTGCGGGCATTTGGCTGGCAAGGTTCTCGTCCCAACGAGCGAGCACATCAACCGCCTCAAGGCTGCCCGGTTCCAGTGGGATGTCATGGGAACTGAAAACTTGGTGATCGCCCGTACCGACTCGGAGAGCGGCAAGCTTATTTCGTCATCTATTGACGTCCGTGATCACGAGTTCATCCTCGGTGTTGCGGACCCCTCTGTTGGGTCTCTTGCCGAAACGCTGGCTTCGATGGAAGCAAAGGGTGCCTCTGGTTCAGAGATTGACGCCTTTGAGGCCCAGTGGGTCAAGTCCACCAAGCTGGTCACCTTTGACGACGCTGCCGTTGCCCACTTTGAGAAGCATGGTGTGCCCCAGGAGAAAATTGCAGGGTACCAGTCTGCCGTCAAGGCTGACAGGGACATGGGCATTTCTGAGCGCCGCAAGCTTGCCTCGTCTATTACCCCTGATGCCCCTGTGTACTGGGACTGGGATGTCCCCCGCACCCGTGAGGGCTTCTACCACTTCCGCAACGGCATGAACGCTGCTACCAAGCGTGCGTTGGCTTTTGGTCCCTATGCCGACCTTCTCTGGGTTGAGACTGGTGACCCGAATGTGCAGGTGGCTAAGGATCTTGGTCAGGCTGTCAGGTCGGTCTACCCTGGCAAGGGGCTGGTGTATAACCTCAGCCCCTCGTTCAACTGGATGGCGCATGGGTTTACCCCAGAGACGCTCAGAAGCTTCATCTGGGATATTGCCAAGGAGGGGTTTGTCCTTCAGCTTGTCAGCTTGGCTGGTCTGCACAGCACCGCGACAATCAGCAATGAGCTGGCCAAGAAGTTCAAGGAGGATGGCATGGCTGCTTATGTGGAGCTTGTTCAGAGAAGGGAGAAGGAGTTGGGTGTTGATGTTTTGACACACCAAAAATGGAGCGGTGCTAGCTACGTTGATGCTGTGTTGGGCCATATTCAGAGTGGCAGCTCAGGGAGTAAGAGTATGGGTGAGGGGAATACGGAGGGGCAGTTTGAGTAGGATAGGTGACTGTTAATAAAAGGGGTGAAGAGGTTGGAGGACCGTGTATGTACAGGAGGCATTTGCAAGCATATTGCATAAGGAGGGCGTTTTTGGCTATGGCATCTTTCGACTTCAATCTCAACATGATACCAACTAAACACAAAATCAAGTCATCACATTGTATTGGTACATCAGATCATCTATCATGTATCATCAAAGCCTGCAGAATCTTACAAGCTGTCCTTGGAGGCGTTGTTCACGGGCGCCGGGGCAGCCGGGCCCTCGGGGGTGACATACGCCTTGGTCATACCACCATCCACCACAAAGTCATGGCCGTTGACAAAGCTGCTGTCATCGCTGGCCAAGAACAGAACCGCCTGCGCCTGCTCAATGGCCTCCCCGAATCTGCCAGTAGGGAAGTGCACCTCTCTCCTGTGTCTTTTGGCCTTGTCATCGCCCAACCAATCCTGCAGCAAAGGGGTGTTCAACGGCGCAGGGCACAAGCTGTTGAATCGATACCCCTCCCTGGCATGCACAATCGCCAGCTCCCTCGTCATGGCCAACACAGCACCCTTGCTAGCGGTGTAAGCCAACTGCGGTGTAGCCGACCCGACAAGCGCAACAACAGACGCAGTGTTGATGATCGACCCCTTGGTCTTGTTGTGTCTCCGCAACGAAAGGACGGCGTGCTTGCAACCAAACCAGACGCCCTTGACGTTGATGTTTTGCGTCAGATCCCAGATGTCCTCGGGGGTGTTGACCGCGTCGTCGTCGCGGGCGTGCATGATGCCAGCATTGTTGAACATGACGTCGACGCCGCCCCAGGCGTCGAGGGACTCGACGGCGGCTTGGACGGCAGACTCCTTGGAGACGTCGCAGATGGTGGTTTCGATCTTGCCGGCGGCGGGGACGAGCTGTTTGACTTTTGCTTGGGCGCGGGAGAGGACTTCTTCGGATATGTCGGCCATGAGGACGTTGGCGCCTTCGCGGGCGAAGAGGATGGTTGTTTCGAGGCCGATGCCACTAGGCGACGTTAGCCTTGGGGATAACGGTAGGGTGGGGGGATTTAGAAGCCTACCCGGCGGCGCCGGTGACAATGGCGTTTTTACCAGCTAGACGACCGGACATTGTACCAAACTTCGAGTTGATCAAGTTGACTGTTTCTCTTCTGGTGGTGGTGGTGGTGTGTTGACGTCGTTGGAGGGGTAGTGGCCGGGGGGGGGGGGGGTCTTGGTGATAAGACCGATAACACGGAGGGAAAGGACGGCGAAGGTTGAACTTGTCACAGTCACCCTCAAGAACAAATAAATACCCCAATCTCTCAGAGTATGTAGACGATGGAGCTTTGGAAGGATTTGAGGAGGCAGAAGAGCAAATATGGTGTTTGCTGATAGCAAAGCCAACACTTACCTACTACTTATCTCACCTCTGGACCCATCACTGATACGGCCGACAGCTGCACCATGCCCCGCGTCCCTTGAGCATCCGAGAACGGCGCAAGCCAGCACCAGATGGGAAATCCAACCCCTTTCCCCCCCTGAGTGGATGGTTGGGATCCGGTCTATCAGATCCACTCGATTGAGCATCCCGAGTCTGGCCGCAGGACCTCGGGGGGCCCAGATGCCGACGGACCTCCTCCGTATTGGCCTCAGTGGACAGTGGCAGGACGCGTGACCCTTCAGCAGACGCCCTTGAGGCCAACGGCCCAATAACTTAGACACATGCTCGCAGAATCGTGGGTCCGATAGCGGTGAGAAGCAAGCAAAACCGTCCTTACATCATTTCCAATGCGTGTCTCGCTACACCTGTCACCGCCATCCAAGAGAGGCGAGAGATGGGATGGAGGGAGTAAGAAGGAGGGGCTTGGCGTCACCGTGGGAGCTGCTGCGGGGTCGTTGCCCGTCTTGATGGAGCTCTAGCGATAAGGAGAGATGTAACATAGAGGGCGATTTGTCACCACGGAAGTCTCAAAAGTCTCCCAAGCGGATACACTACTTGGATAGGAAATCTCTCTCTAGTAGATCAGAGAGAAGAATTAGACAGTGAGAACTCTGTCATGAGTGTCAGGCTTGTCGAGGACCTCTTGAGCTGCCCCGCACTTTGCACGCCTGGCATGGCACGTGCAAGACCCCTCTTCGCCGTTCAGCCTGAAAGCTCCATGGCTGAAACCTATGACGCAGTGACCCGCAGCTGGACCAATTACAGGGCTCTGCTTGCCTTATCGGCATCTTTCAGAGGTGTGACCAGGGCTTATCGGCCGAACCAACCCGCCAGTAGCTCCCCTCGGAACTCCCCATGACGATCGCAAAACAAGCTTCCCATCCCTTTCATTGCTTCACGATCCAAAAAGGAGGTCTGAGTTCGTCATCGGTTCAACCCGCTGCCGCTATCAGTGTAAGAACTCTTGCTGAACTCTTTTGAGCTCTTCACTGTGTTCAGGATTCTCTCAGAAGCCAACACCGCAATCTACAGCAAGCCACAAGACCAGGACCCCGCAACCCCTCCATTGATTATCGTGATATAGAGCTTTTCAACACCAGCAACCATGGGCCAACAGGAGAAAGAACCAGAGATCACGGTGGAACAACTCCCAGACCTCCTTGCCAACGACAATGCTGTCAAGCTCGCCGGTGTCGATGTTGACGGCCAGCTCCGCGGCAAGCTCGTCTCCAAGAAGAAGTTCCTCTCGATCGCAAAGAGTGGCTTTGGCTTCTGCTCTGTCATCTTCGGCTGGGATATGCACGATATGACTTATGTGCGCGAGCTCAAGGTCAGCAACAAGGAGAATGGATACAGGGATATTATCGCAGTGCCGGACTTGCAGAGCTACAGGCGCATTCCATGGGAAGACAATGTGCCGTTTTTCCTGGTCAGCTTCTTTGATCCTGATACGAAGAATTCCGTTTCTGCGTGCCCGAGAGGTCTGGTCAAGGCGCAACTCGAGAAGTTCAAGACGATCAATGTTGGAGCCATGGCGGGAGGTATGTTGATATCTGCTGCGCCGGTGTTTTTGCAAGTAACAGTCACTGATGTGTCGGGCGCGCAGCCGAGTACGAGTTCTACCAGTTCAAGAGCCCTTCCAACAACCAAAACGATAGCTTGACCTCTGGTACCGCGGCATTCTTGCAACAAAACCCGCCACATAGTCTACCCGCTCTGACTGAAGGCATGTTTGGTTACAGCTTGACGAGACCGGTCCACAACAGCGGGTACTACTACGACGTCTTTAACAGCTGTGAGGCTTTCAGGTGCAACATCGAGGGGTGGCATACCGAAAGTGGACCGGGAGTCTACGAAGCAGCGCTCGAGTTTGGTGAGGCAGCGCAGATGGCAGATCGCGCGAGTTTGTTCAAGTATGTGGTCAAGTCGGTCGCGACCAAGTACGACATCACCCCATGCTTCATGGCAAAACCCAAGCAAGGCCTGCCCGGAAACAGTGGGCACATGCATATTTCGCTCGTCAACCACCGCGGGGAAAATTTGCTGTTCCGTGGAGGAAAGGACGAGAAGGCTCAGTACTCAGACATTGAGTCTCTGTCGGACTTGGGAAGACACTTTTTGGCTGGTATTCTGGAAGGTCTGCCAGATGTCATGCCCATGGTAGCGCCCACGATCAACAGTTACAAGCGGTTGGTGGAGAACTTTTGGGCTCCTGTCACGGTGTCATGGGGCCTTGAGCACAGAGCGGCTTCCATCCGGCTCATTGCGCCTCCTACCTGCAAGCCGGCTGCCACGAGATTCGAGATCCGGGTTCCTGGCGCAGACGCAAACCCATACTACGTCATGGCTGCCATGCTGGCACTCGGCTGGCGCGGTATCGAGAAGAAACTGGAGATTCCGTGCCCTCCGCTTGGAAAGGGCGAGGAAGTCGGCGGTGAGTCGGATAAGGGGGTGAGACTGGCCAAGAACCTCAAGGAGGCCAACGACCGGTTCACTCGCACCGGCAGCATCGCGAGGGAGGTGTTTGGTGACGAGTTTGTGGACCACTTTGGTGGTACAAGAGAGCACGAGATAAGACTGTGGGATGAGGCTGTTACTGATTGGTGAGTTTGGACTAACTCTGTCCCGAGCATCTGGTGCGCAGTGAGACAATTGCTGACCAAGATATAGGGAGATGAAGCGTTATATCGAGACTGTGTGAGACAAGCATGGCCTGGCTCATTCATGATCTAGAATGGGATCTGGATAGGATGTGTGGATGATGAGAGATGTGGTGATGCGATCGATACCCCTAATGATTAATCACACCGCTGCTATTGACATGTTTACATATGCCTATCTTGCCTGCCGTTGATTGTTTTGAGAGAGGGCCGGGTAAATACACTCGCGGCAAGGCGGCTATCGCATTTGCATGCCCCGATCTTGGAGGGTGGGTTCTCGAAGGCTGCTGAGGAAAATGGTCCACCCTTCCGCTTCTTGGCTAGCCCACCTGGGCGATAGCATCATCCTGGACACCCTGGCTGGGGCCCCGGATTTATAGGGACTCGGATGAACTGCCGTCCCCTGTTGGCAGCAAGAAGGTCCAACGGGGCCAGGCGAAGCGGGGCACACCCTTGCTGAACCAAACTTCTCGCTGGTGCCGGGACGCCTATCAATTCCCGACGGTTGTATCTTCGGTGACAATCCTACCGACAGCTTGACATTGTAATAAATGGCTGCCGCCGCCCCGGGAATCCAATCGGGTCGGTGACAATTTTTGGCGACTTTCTCCAGGTTTCGTTTTTCACAGTGGTGTTGACTGCTTGTCTTTCCAATGGCTCTCACAACAGCTTACTCCGGTGCGCCGGCCGGGAGGATGCCCTTTGACAACGCCTTCGGGTTTACCTTTAGCCAACCGTTCCAGCACGAAAGCGACTTCACTCCGGCAAACCACCGGGTGCCCAAGGTGAATGACGAGCAGCCTATTTTTGTGGACAACAAGTCTGGTATGTTATCGTCAGCTGATGTTGGCTTATATGCGCATAAATCTGCTGTGCGACTCTCTCTCTCAGCCAGTTGCTAGACTAACATGCTTCTCTTTGTGGTACCTAGGTCGCGCATTAACCTACTCCCAAATCCGCGCCGATTCTCTTGCCTTGGCGTCCGGCCTGTTGAGCCTCCCGAATCTCGACCCGACCGAAATCAAGAAACTCCCTCCCACACCATCATGCCCCCAAGGCCCAGAGATCGCGCCGGTGGTGTTGATTCAACTACCGAATTGCCTCCCCTTTGCGCCTATTCTCCTGGGTACTTTTGCCTCGGGGTTCACGGCTACGCTTGTCTCGCCTGCCCTGACGGCGGATGAGGTTGCCTGGATTTTGCAAAATGCCAAACCGAGGGTCATCATCACTGCGACGGCGTGCTTGGAGGCTATGAAGGCCGCTATTGGGAAGCAAGAAGGGGATCAGAGTTTCTGGAATGGGGTGCCAGTGTTTACCGTTGATGCTGTCAACGATACCTACCCTCTGGCGTTCTCGGGACAGTCAAATCCCCAAGATTGGAGACAACTCCTGCAAGCGAAAGGGAAGCCATCCGTCCAGCCAAATCAGCGGCTTAACGAGCAGCAAGCCAAAGCCCGGACGGCGGTTATCCTCTGGTCATCCGGCACATCAGGCAGATCAAAAGGTGTTCTCCTCTCCCACCACGCCCTCAACTTCGCCACCGCCTCCCTCTGGCACGACGCCGATTATTATCCTCCTAGCGGCCCGCAGCGCTGGCTGGGGTTTGCCCCGTTTTACCACGTCTTTGGCCTCTGCAATGTTTTCCTCTTGGGCATCGCCGCCGGGGCGAGGGTGTTTATCATGCAGGGGTTCAAACTCCCGGATATGCTCGAGGGGATAAAGAAGCGTCAGATCACGTACGTGCACATGTCGCCTCCTGTCGCGGTGATGCTGGCCAAGGCGGAGGTGGTGGAGGAGTATGCCAAGCGAGACCCAAAGACGGGGAAGAACGGGTTTAGCTCTGTTGTCGGGGCGGTGACGGGGGGTGCGCCGCTGGGGCATGAGGTGGTTGTGCAGGTGTACAAGAGGTGCGGGTTTAGGATTCGGTTGGGGTACGGGCTGAGCGAGACTTGCAGTACGGCGTTGCAGAGGGGGTTGGGGGAAAGGGAGATGGGGGAGCAGGCGGGGGATACGGGGTTGCCGCATTGGGGGGTGGAGGTCATGATTGCTAACGGGGAGGGGTATGCGACCAAGGAAGGGGAGAAGACGCCGGCGGCGGGGGTAGATGTGGAGGGGGAGGTGTTGGTTAAGGCGCCCGGGTTGATGTCGGCGTATCTTCCGGTGGGGCTGTTTTCGGGGGCGAAGCCGGACATGTCGGTTACGAATGAGGCGCTCACGGCGGATGGGTGGTTCAGGACGGGCGATGTCGGTGCCTTGTGCAAGGCGGGGAGGTTGAGGATCACGGATCGGTTGAAGGAGTTGATCAAGGTCAGGGCGTATCAGGTTGCGCCGGCTGAGCTGGAGGCGGTGCTCTGCAGTAGCGAGTCGGTCGGCGACGCTGGTGTGGTTGGTGTCTATGATGACGACGAGGCTACCGAGTGGCCTAGGGCTTTTGTCGTCCCTGCCGGCGGGAAGGAGAATAAGTCACGGGCTGATCTGGAGAAGCTGGCTGTTGAGCTGAAAGAGCTTGTGGAGAAGCGCACGGCCAAGTACAAGTGGCTGGTGGGTGGGATTGTGTTTATTGACCAGGTGCCCAAGAGTCCAAGCGGCAAGATTCTCAGAAGGCTGCTGAAGAGCGGTGCAGAAGGGACCAAGGGGGTCGAGATCAAGCTCTACGAGAAGAAAAAGAGGAGCGCCAAGTTGTGAAATAGGTATTAGTGTTTTCATTGTGTCGGTACACCTTTCAATAAAGTGTAACTTGATGTTCATTGCCGTAGGTGTCCGTTTCGACACACCTTCATTCAGACTCGAAAATGACAGCACGCTTGGCCAACAGCGCTTCTTCTTCTGGGCGAATCAATTCGACCCGCAAATTCACAACTGCCCAGCGATAAGGCATAGGCCATTCCAGACGTTCATGATGTATATGTTGTCCAGTTCTCTTCCAAACTCTCCTGTTTACCATCCAGACCACACGTCTTATCAGGCTGTAAAGGTCGCTGGCACTAAGGAGAATATCGCGAGCCTGGTAGGGAAGTTGGCTTTTGTGCAGGCTCAAAGTTTCCTCAAGAACCCAATTAGCGACCTCTGTCCGACACTCATCGTTTGTGCAATACGATCCACGCGTTCCTCGAAGGGCATCGGGTGTCCTGAGGTCACGCTGCAGTGTTGTGTGATAAGAATCTAACAGCGTCTGGATTTTTGAGAGACGAACTTTGGCGATCCTCTCTGTGACACCTACCTTGTTAGCATGAAACTTTGCGCGACTGCCCTCGACTACGCACAGACAGGTGACTCGCCTTCCATATCAAGAGGACCAAAACGTAACTGGCGGAGCGGCGTCTTATCCCCCTGGTCATTGTTGAATACCAGGACTCTGCTTTGCGGATCGATCCAGCAATGGTACACAATTTGAACAGTGTGAGCTCTGAAGACTCTCGAGAAGCCCAATTGCCAGGATAGAAATGCCTCAAACGGGCACCACCTGATGTCTTTGTAACCCTGCCACTTCACTTCCCCATTTCTTCCAAAGTCTACCAACGTGTGCTTCCACGGCGCGAGCAAGTGAGTCATTTGGTACTTGTCAGTGAGAAGCAGCAAGCCGTAGACCGCTTTCCTTGTCATGAGCTTCCTGGGGATCCTCCTGACATGGAATTGGCAGTGGACGATTTGCAGGATGATTTCAAAGTCATCGGGGTCGTCCTCTGGCAGCGAAACCAGCCACTGCTCGCCTGCAGGTTTGGACTCTGCCGAAGGACCGAATAGCATTGCCTTGAATACTGGGGATGCACGGCGAAGGGCTGCCGGATCGACTCTGAAAGTGCGGGGGGTGGGGTCCGAGTCGGCTCCGACATGGAGAACAAGATCCCCGTCTGGATCGATTTCCTCGATGTGGAGTTTGTTGATGTCGACTGGCTTTGTGACATCAAGGCCTTCATCGGCGCTTTTCGGGGGCGACATGATGACTTGTTGAGAAGCTCTTTTGTTGACTTTGGCACGAGAAAGAGAAGAGATCTGGATTGTAACTCCCGGATGAACATTGTGCGGAGATCAACGCAAGGTTCTGGAAATCGTGTCATTAACTTAAATTTTGGGTTGGCGTTGTGGCTCTGGGTGGCTTGAAGAACGAGGCAAGCTTCAGTTCAGTGGCGTAGAAAGGGCGTGACGCTGTGGGTTTAGCCAGCTGTCAAGACACTACTGTACGATCTTGTGATGGTGCGCGAGCCTCCATCTTGTCATGGGTCGACAGTGTGTCTGCGATAATACGCAAAGGTCGGGTCCTGTTGTGCAGCAGCAAATGCCGCGGTCATGTGGCGTTGCTCGTTCAATACAGTTTTCGACATCCAACCTAATAAGATGGCATGGGTTTTTTATAATATAAAACTCGGGTGGCTGTCACATATTTAACCAGTTGAGCACCGCTGCCTTTGCAGGTCTCCTGTGTTCAAGGCCATGCTCTTTGGTCCTTGGAAAGAGTCAAGCCCAGCAAATGGATCAGACTGGACCGTCACATTACCAAAGGACAACCCTTGTTGATTTTAGGCTCATACTCAACATCGCACATGGCAATTTTACTGGTGTGTCAAGAGCCATCTCGTTCGGCGAAGAGCTTTACAACCTACTCATCCTTTGTGACAAATACGACCTGACAGCGTTGATCGGTCCCTGGGTTAGGATGTGGCTTCTCCTGTTTCACATTCAGCATGTGATGCCAGTACCAATGCTGCCATTCATCGTCTGGGCAGTGGGTGATTACAACCTTTTTATCACCATCTGCTGGCATATTGTGGAGAACTCCAAGGTTGACAAAGATACCGGTGGCCTCAGCTACAAGGGTCAACTGTTGTGCAACTACCGGCTTGGTTCGTTTGATATGGAAGTTTGGTACATCCATGAACCTATTGATACTGGTTAACTATCCTCGCTAACTGATATTCCGTCTCTTGCAATAGAGAGACTCATCCAACTAAGAGTCGAGCTCAATAGAGCGTGGATCACGCGGGCCTTTAAGGAACAGAGCGCACGTTTTCATCGCTACATGCTGGCATCGAAACATTCCTTTAACAAGGGCGCGGGGGAGGTTGTGGTCGGTGTGAGCGCTCTGGGGGCGCGAGTTGGGGAATTGCTGGATTGGATGGCAGAGGGGTTTTATACTATCGTGAAAGAAAGTACTCGTGATCGTGTGTGGCCGGAGACTCTGATTGGAAACTGGAATTACGACAAACACTGGACTGTACGATGGGGAGGTCGTCTTGTGTCACCAGAGGACAGGGAATGGATGAACAATCGCAAGCGACGGCTTGAAGCCTATAGTATCCCTGAAAATAGTACTCACCTGAATTTGACTTTCTTACCTACTGCATGATACCTTACCACATGCGAATTCATACCTGCTACACCGCGACAGGCAATGAGGTTAGGTAGAATCGCAGGTTGCTCCCGTCCCCTGTTGGCTTGATTGCTGTGAGTGGCCCACACAAAGTGGGAAAGAGCGCCGTCAAAACTAAAGCATTCACTCGCAGCCCTCATCTTCTGCCCAGAGATTTCCCCCTTGCAGCCGAAGCGACCTTCCGCAAACCTGGGTCAGGCTACATCTACCAACTCAACAACAACACCTCACCGACCAGATCGATCCAAGATGTCGAGCGATCCAATCGGACTTACCGAGGGTCCTGGCAACCCGGTCGAAAAAGCCGTCGAGAACCAACAAGAAGCTGGCAACCAAGGAAAAGGTCGGACAAGCGAGGCCGCCGCTGTTGAGAAGACCGTTGCGCCTGCGACTGTTGTCGGCAAAAGCCCCGTCGTCGAGAACATTGATGAGGATGGCGATCTTGTCCTCCATGTCGGCCCCACTTCAAACCTGAGGGCATTCAAAATCGACTCCTCTACTCTTCGCCGCACCTCTGAAGTCTTCCGAGCGTGGATTTGCCGCTGGAGGACCGACAAACCGAGCGATTCACAATGGGTATTCGACCTGCCGGAGGACAACCCCGCCAGTCTCAAAACCATCCTCCATATTGTCCACGGACAGTTTGACCAAGCCACAAAGACCATGGCGGAGAGCGACGGCAGTATGCTATACGAGCTGCTGGTGCTTTGCGACAAATATAACATGGCCTACATGATCAAGCCCTGGGCTAATGCATGGCTCAATCGCACCATCAAAGACACGCAAGATAAGCCCAGCTACTGGAAGCTTGCATTCATTGCTTGGGAATTAGGACGTTATGATCTATTCACCGAGAGCTGTCAAAATATCATCCTTACGTCCCAGGCTTCCCATGATGGAAGCGGACTAGTGGCCTATGGATGCCAGTTGGGTGATTGCCGCCTTGGCCCTCTCGAGATGGAAGGTTTGTGCATGGTGGTGTTCATTAGCCGTTTCGTACTGCCGACTAACAGAAGAACGATAGAGAGATTCGAACCGATCAGATACGCGATTATTCAAGCCCTACTCGACTTCTACCACACTGAGGTCAAGGATCGTCTGCTTGGGAAGGTCCCTACCCACAGTCCCGTTCAACCTACTGCATCTCACTCTGTAGGGAGATCACCAACCCTGTCATTCGACAACACTCGCCAAACCTCATCTCGTTCCCCAATGACCAACACCGCGTGCAATCAGATTGTTCTGGGGGGCATCATCCAGGCCACCGTGACGCTACTACGGGGCTCAACCAAAACCGAGAATATGGACGCTGGAATCTTGGTCCTTCTTCCCACTGAGGCATCTGAGCTCAAGGATAGCCCTGCCAAGCTCATTGGACAGATGACTACTATCTTCCAAGCCGTTCAGCCATTGGGATATGGTCACGAGATCTGCCATCCTGCAGCCAGGTTTCTGTCTTTTCAGAAAACCATCAAGGAGTTCACGGCAGAGTGTAATAAAGGATGGGAGGGTCTGCTGTTGACTCCAGCGGATAAAGACAGACTGGCCAAGAGAAAGGTGCTCTTTGGCTGAGGCATTGTTCTTCGTATATAGGCCTTGTTCTAGATAGGTAGTTAAAACGCCTCTTGATCGTCTTGTCAAGTCTCCCGACTATCTCTAAAAGCCGATCAGCTATATTGTCAGACTTTGAGTCTCGTTGAATGTGTGTGCTGCCTATCTTTGAGGGAACCTTGTACAAATATTCTTGAGGGCCTATTCACTCTCTTCATAGCTATGTAAATATCTTCAAAGACGTGATGACTAGGTATTTTTAAAGGCGTAGTCTGTATCTTTATAGAACTAAAGATTGTATCTAAGGTCTTTTGCCTATCTTTGAAGGTATAACGTATATTATAAGCGAGTCGTACATATAAGCGAGTCGTACAGTCTCCACCACCCTACAACAACTATCCTCAATTATACCGCAACAACATTAGGAAGCAACTACAATTACATCAGAAACGGCTGAATCAGATGATTCCCCAGCCTCCTGGCAAGTGCGCGCGTTATGGCCAGGCTTGCCGCACACACTACAGCACCGAACCGTCGTACGAGCCCCCCCCTGCACTACCGCCATCCGGCTGTATTTCTTCCACTACCTCCCCACCCACGGCCTTCTGGTCTAGTAGATCCTGTGCATCTTGCATAGTAAGTGATCCTCCGAGCCGTACACGTGTTTTTTTAGCTCTCCGGCGCTTACTTAGTACCTCATTAGCCTTACGGAGTAAAGAGACTTTTGCCTGTAAGAGGGCTATTTAGTATATTATAATTATCGTACCCTTAATAAATTAATCTATAATACTTAATATTAAAGTCGGGAAGCTATTTTAATAGTTAGTAATACGAATTTTAATAAGCGTTAAGTATAAATTAACTTCTCGGGGGTTTTATAATATTTAAAATACCTAAAGGAGTACCGTACCCGGCCTTAAGGATAAAAGTATTAATATACAAAACTTTATATTTAACTTAAAAAGTACTTTCTTTAGATCGTATAATATAAGGCTAATACCTATAAAGCTACCCTATATATTTTTCTCTATTATAAAAGCGAAAAAAGTTTCGCGGAAAGTATAAAGAAACTTAAGCTTACTTATATAATTAATATATATATATATTAAACCCTCGATTTAGCGGCCGTATATTTATTTTAGTAGTTTAAAGTAATTAATATCGAGTAATTAAAGGAAGTAAAAGGAATATAAAGGTATATAAAGTGTAATAATATTATTTTATTAATAATAATATTTAAATTTAATTAAATAATAATTTTTATAATTATCGAGGATTAATAACCGGTATTTACTTTTTATATAAAACGCTATATAATAATTAAAATATTTAATTTAATTTAGGTTTACCGGATTAATAATTTAATTATTATCGGTAATTATAATATATTAAATAAATAATAAATTATATTCGGTATATTAATTAATAAAATAATATTATATAATTAAAATAATAAAAGGTAAAATAATTTAATTAAAAATATTAATTTTCTAAATTATTATTATTTATTCGCGGTTATTAAACTAAATTAATTTTACTTTATTAAAGCCGTCCGAAATTATAATTATTATATTTATAAAAATAATATTTATTATAAACCTAATCTCGTCGAAATTATAAATATTATTATTTATAATACTATACTTAACCTTAATATTCCGTACGAGCGTAAACTATTCGGTAATAACTTTCGGATCCTCGTACTTAGCCCTCTAATAGTCATATCTATACGTAAAACGCGTATAGAGCTATAGTTAACGTTTAACGAAGTTATATACCCAGAGCTTACCAATAGGGGACGCGTCGCGTATACGTAGTAGTTAGTTAGCTATATCTTCCACACTACGTAATTTTAGTGGAAAAGCTCGCGTAAATAGCTTAATAATATAGTGAATAATAGCCTCCTCTTCGGATTGAGTAAGCTTCTTCGATCTAGGCGTAGTATCGCGTCGTGCAGGCCGGCCGGCGCGTCGGTTAGAGAGAGTCATAGGTGGTACGTTGTAAAGCTTAGCTACAGCTCGGAGGCTTAATTTTTCGTCCTTTTGGAGAGCCTTAAGGGCTAAGAGTATCCTGGCTTCCTTTGAAGTAGGAGGCATGTTGGGTTGTGGAAAAAATTAATGTTAGGTGTAAGGAGGACGCGTCGTGGTGGAGACTATACGACTCGCTTATATGTACGACTCGCTTATAATATACGTTATTAACAATCTTCAAGGGCGCTTCGAATATTTTAAAAGGCCATCGACTGTATTCAAAGTCTTTAGACTACCTTGGCTATTCATCAAAGTGTTTGGCTATCCCTCAGCCCTTTATATCTCATTACATAAGATACATCAAGTTACACATGCCATCACTTCACCAGACATTTATCCCAGGCCTATCCCGCTTCCCCTGCATCACCTTAAACAGATTCGTCAAACTACCCTTGCCATGATGTTCAACACACATTGGTCCCAAACCTTTCCCGTTTCCTTTGAATTATCTCAATGTGGTCCTTACTGAGAAGGTTCTTCGTGTCAAACTGAAAGCCCGTGTGACACACCGCGACTGAAACTCATACAGGAAAGGTGGATTTCCGAAGTCTTGATGGGAAATTTGAGATCCGCCCGGCTGAAATGAAGGGAACCCATGCGACGAAGCCCGCCAAAGATAGAAGCATCGCAGAGCTCCCTGCCCACGCTGGCAAAGGTTTGGTCCCCACTGTCGATGTTCCTCTTACAAACACGGCTGGTCGTGTAGGCAACCACCGTTTTGTATATCAAAGCTGCTAGGTCGTTCAGCACCAGCAACCGCTTCGCTGCAATATGCTCAAGCATATCAGTTGACAGAGGACCTATGTGGGCATGGTCGGCCAGGCATATGGCCTCATATGTCACTTTGTTGGTTGAGCCAAGGTTGGAATGGAGGATTATGTTTTTGAGAAACTGGGCGAAGGTGTCGGCATCTCCAAGTTCCCAGATTGAATGTTAACGCTGAAAGACCGTTAAGGATGCTGGGGAGTCTGTGGAGGTGGCAAGAGTCTTTCTCATGGGCGTCACCCACGGGGTCAAGAGGTGTATGATGTCATACTTTGTCGGCCAGATTCTTCCACGGCTTATCTGCAAATATGTCTGAATCGCGGCTGAAACATCATCATGCTTCAATGTAAACGTACCGTCAACAGTTGATGACTGGCGTCGTGGTCGAAGGTCGTGGTGGTGGACCAGGTGGTGGGATGACACGAAGGCAAACAGGTGGGTGTTGACTGGAAGTCAACAAAGTGGCAGTGGGTTGCGGAAGGGGGTGACTCGCTCTTTCCTATTCCATTTGTGCTGGGCCCTAGAAGACAGCAGAACGATTCAATTCCTTCTTCCGAGCAAATCCTTCCGGCACGCCGCCTGTGGGGGTCCTACAAGATACCAACCTTTCACTGGCTCGGTCATTCAGACCGTTCGCCTCCGTCAATCGTCGACTTAACGGCCGATTCCGCTTGTTTGCCTTCTATTTGCTGCCCGAGGATAGGTCCCGGAACACTTGGTTTGGCGTGAAAGCAGCTTCCCGTCCTCGATCTGTTTGCCCATTTGCTAACAAAAATTGATATTGGCCAGGTCTCAGCGGGCGTTTACGTTAACTTTCAGACACCCGCAAAAACTGGTTCTCTTTTTCGCTCATTCCCACCTCTTACCTCCAACACCACCCACAACTCATCAACCCAAGGCCGTCGCTATGGCTTCAGTTAAGGCGACATAATCTGGGGAAAGACGGCCGACAAGTCGCAATCAAGATCCCCTTATTCTCGATCATGACGGGGACGTTATGCTCACCGTTGGAAAGCCCCCAAAGGACAAGCCATTCAAAGTTGATGCATCAGCACTACGACGCGCTTCTCCGGTGTGGAAATCTATGCTGTTCGGGCCATGGGCCGAATCAAATCGAACTTCGTCTTTCTGACACAACCCCCGTGAAGAACGGTCAGCACGCGTGGCTGCTCAAAAGTAAGGCTTGTGATGACCTTCTTCTCAGAGGTATCATTCGAGGCACAGCACAAGGACTCCAAGGCACTGTACACCCCAGAGATGCCACGAGGTTCCGCATCAGTGTCGAAAGTCTGGAAAGCACTTGCTCAGCTGTCTTTGAGGGCCTAAAAGCCCGCGCTCATGTGATCAATGGCAGCTGGGATGGGTACAATTCGAGGTACGGTTCAGCCTCATCACACGATACATGCAACCCATCCCAACGGTTTCGCGATTTCGCATCCAAGACCAGGACAAAGGCGCTGTCCAAGATTGATGAGATATTGCAATCCGATGACTACAAGGGAAGGATGAAAAAACAGCGTGAGAAAATCGGATTGAAATCTTTATGAATCCATGAAGGTACCAATTCAGCCTAGGTAGTTCTGCCATTGTTTCTTCGTGAAGGCAAGCTCAACGGGCTTGACATAATTCCATCCTTATTCAGTTAACTTTGAGTGTAGTCGACTCTGAAAGCTTTGTAGGCGGGTGGGTCTTCAAATCTCTCAGCGAGGCATCTTGATTGTACCTTCCTTCGACCCCTCGCGTCAATCTTAACTACCTTTTGCACATCACTATGCAGTTGCCTAGGCATGAATCTAGGTTTCTCCTTCTGCACACTGACAAAGAAGCAAAAAATTGAGAGCCCGGGCTTAATTCTTTTCTCTCTACATTTTACTTCCACCTTGGCCTCGCTTACTTCTCAACCACATCTCCCCTACACTATCCTTCCAATATTCTACTAAACCCCATCTCCAGGCAGAGGTACGACCGTGAGGCACTGAGAAGCTTTGAGGGTAAGTGAATTACACCTGATCTTATATATACTTACAGGCACTGATTTATTGTGAAAAGAGCCGGTAATCAGGGCTTGGAACAGTAGTTCAATTCAATTAATAATCTTTAATGGCCTCGAAGTAAGTAATAAAGAAAGGTAAAATACTAAGAAATATAACAGGGTGTGATGAACCCCTATTCAGAACCTCTGAAAGGGATACTAGTTAAAGGCGCTTTTAGACAATCTAGTGTGGT